TTTTATGTACAGAAAGATACGAATGCGTTTCAAAGACATAGCTTCTTTGTAACCCACTGAAATTTTGTCTTAAATACAGAGTAACTGGACAGGACAAAGGCTGAAGATGACCCGTCACTTTGAGTTTGTCCTGGCACTGGCAATCCTGGCTGGAGTAGTGTATCCAGGTAAGCATTCCATGATATGTACAGAATCAATGAAAGGGGGAATTTGCTGTTTGCATTTATAACTTTTACCTCTTTTCACTGAGGTCATTCCATACTTGATAAAAGTAGTATAACGCGAAATTCGTTGTATTAAGTGGAGGAACGATGAAGGGGGTGACAGAAAAATCAGCCCAGTCAGTGCGGATCGCCAAGTCAACCCAAGATGAAGGCATATTACTAGTAGTTTAAATCTGATTTTATTTCATATTTCATTTGTATCACAAGCCAAGAGCCAGGACCAACAGCTGACTGATGAAGATGCCTCACCTGACATTGAGGAAGCGGAGATGTTACTTGAAGAGCTGGAAGGTAGAGAGACGTTTGTCTTCGTCTTTGCATTTACATGTATTTTACCTCTAAAAAAACACCGTTGCACCATAATCTCGTATCATAAAAGCAACTCATGCCAAACTTGAAAAATATATAATCAAGAAAGAAAGAGGAAGTCACAATTGTTGTCTTTCAGTTAGTAACAAAAAAGGGTGGTCTTATAGATAGAAATGGAAGATGTTTTTATCGAACCTTTCATTTTGGTTGACTTCGTTTGTCTTATATTGTAGAGGAAATAAACTGTGTCATAATATTTGCGTACTTTAGTAGAGCTTTGCTTTTTAACTACTAAAAGTGTTTCATTGTTTGCCTCACAATTGTACACAGTATTTTAATTTGTCAACACAGATTTGGTGGAGAAAGAAGTGATGGCCGACAACAACGGTTATGACATAGCAGAACTTTTCGGCAAAAGGCATTTCCTTGGTGAGCGTAGAATATGTGATAATTACATTATTACAAGTACCTCCATGAAACATACCAGGTATTGTTATATTTCAGTCCATACCATGGTATGGATGAAATATATTGTGTTCTCTGGTGTTTCTTCTTCTCCTCCTTCTCCTCCTCCTGCCAAACAGTCAAAGGTATTCAACTCCGCCATCATTCAGCCAAATGACTTGAAATTTGGCATGGAGGTAGAGTGGGTCAATACCCCCAGGCGTTTGTTTCATTTTTTTGATACATGCCTTTGAAAAATTTTTATGAAGGTTTTTTTGGGCATTTTTCGCCAAAAAATGGATTTTTGGATCCTGAGCCCTGGTTTTACAACCAAATGATCTGAAATTCGGTATAAGGGTACCTTGAACATGTGTCTACAGAATAGCAGTCACATATTTGGCATACACCACTTCCAAATGACTCATTTGGAGGACTTTAATGGCTATTTTCAGCAAAAAAAGGGGGCCAAAAGTGCTGTACCCGTTCCAAGTTCTATCTAAAGAATGGCCGGTTCCATCCATGGAACACGTGTTCCATTGCGGGTTACCTGAGGTCACATTGCACGTAAGTCATGCGGAATGACCCACACATTCAATTTTATGTGCCTAAGACCTTCAAAATGTATCAAATCTCATCATTGTTAGTATTTGCATACCTGTAATAAGACTAGTAAAGCTTTCGAGATTCAATGTGCTTGATCTTGCATCTTTGTTCTCAATTACATACCTACTACTACTACTGTATATAATTCATTTATTTGAGAATCTTTGCCAGTTTTACACTGGGGTAAGTTTGGAATAGTCCACTTTTGCGTGGGAGGGAGATGGACTGAAATATGCTGTATTTGCTCCCAAGCAAATGTCGGCCTCTCTAGTTTTCGATGTGTCTGTATGCGTGTCTCTGTGCGTGTCTGTGTGTGTATGTGTGTGTGTGTGTTTGTGTGCCCGCACATTTATCTATCTATCTATCCCCCTGTCCCTCTCTCTACCTCTTTATATTTATCTATATAATATTTAATTCAAGAACTTCTTTTCAGTTCACAGCCCAAACCTTGCATTAGGGAGACCTACGTTTCAATGTAGCGTAGGATGGGGAGGTGCCTCGGCTCGAGCTGTGGACGGAAAGAGGAGTCCTTACTGGGCTCACAGTTCCTGCACACACACGAACGAAGAAAACGACCCATGGTGGTACGTCGATTTGGGACGCGTAGTCACTGTGGACCACGTCACCATCGTCAACCGCCGAGACTGCTGCAGTGAAAGGATCACACCCTTCAACGTCCACGTCGGGTACAGCACCAACGTGGCCAGCAACCCGAGGTGTGGCGGGCATCACCACTTCCCTCCGACTGAGACCGAGCATAATGTCCACTGCGGCGGGTTGAGGGGCAGGTACGTGGGCATCAGGCTGCCAGGGAAGAAGCGAGTCCTGACGCTGTGCGAGGTGGAGGTATATGCATGTAAGTACCGTACTGTACTATACCATCTCATATCCATGCCAGGCTCGACCCTTGTACAGAGAATGACCATACGATCATATTTGTGTCTCGTCCAAACTTGCTGTGTGGCAGTTTAAAAGGTTGTGAACATGATTCAGGGGGCCACCTGAATGCTGTGCAGAACAAATTATTCTACTTAGTAGCAGGTGGGGGGGAGTTTCTTTCAGCAAGGACAAAGCTTCCAAAGAAAGGAATAAATGATAGTAGTTTTTTGTTTCTTTAATATTATCCTGTTTTACTCTCAGCTCCAAACCTAGCGTTGGGAAAACCAACTTTCCAGTCAAATGTCGCATATAACGGGTTTGCCCCCCGAGCGACTGACGGATGCAGGGACCCGAACTGGGGTAGCCAGTGCTGCACCCACACTCCAGCGGAGGCGAACCCTTGGCTGCAAGTGGACCTCGGAAGGTCGTACAGAGTCCAGTGGGTGATCATCATGAACCGTGCGGACTGCTGCCGAGAGCGACTCACCCCCTTCAACATCCACATTGGAAACAATGCGCGTGTAGAGTACAACCCTCGCTGCGGCGGACATCACACCATGCCCGCTGGTAGGAACAAGGATGCCATCAACTGCAACGGACTGACAGGACGATATGTGGGGATCCGACTGCCCGGCTATGGCCGTATCCTGACAGTCTGTGAGATAGAAGTCTACACAGGTATGTAAAGCAAACTTTCTCTTCAGTTCCTTTTTTTTGTCATTATGACTCTTTCAAGTAAAAAACTTCTATGCTGGATACTCTACTAGCTGGGGGCTATTGGGAGTTGATAGGTCTGTTCTAACAGGGGTCAGCGATTTGTTGGAACGTGATGTGATCAAAACATGCAATATTTGTAAGGTGATGCATAAGTAAACCCCTTCCTGTCAGGTTCTGCTACTTTAATGAAAATCATTTCAAATTTTGGGAAAGTCGAAAAGAGGCGAAAGAGAGAGAGATAAACACTGACGGACAAACAAACATCAAACATTAATTTTTTTTCTAGGTACGCTGACAAAGAGGACATCTGAAGTGCGGGAGACCGAGGGAAAGGGCTGTGGAGAACATGAGGTTAGGCCAGTTGGTCTCTCTCTCTCTGTCTCTCTCTCTCTCTCTCTCTCTCTCTCTGTGTGTCTGTCTCTCCTCTCTCTCTCTCTGTCTCTCCCTTAAGTACTGTCTCCTGGATTTAATTCCATGACTGTGTAATGTTTTCATTTTTACTCAAACCCTTAAAATCCGCTGTTGCCAGCTCAATTCCTGTCCATGATATTGATGCTTACCTACAGGAGGGGCAAAGCTGGGTGGGTGATGAGGAGGAACACAACTGCAACTGTGACGCCGGCGAAGAGTTCTGCTACAAGGTAGTGTGTGGGGATGATGGAGAAAAGAAACCCATCAAGGGCGAAGAAGGGATGTGGACCTGCGAGGAGACTGAAGAGACCGAGGAAACCGGTAATTCAAGATTTAGAACGATTCTTTAAACTATTACAAAACATATGTGGATAAGCAAATGCCATTAGAGCTTTCTATGAAGTTTTACTGTGATTCTACAAACTATTACGGAAAGTAGTGGATAGGAAAATATCAGAGCCCCTTCAAACTTCCACTACCAAAGATGTTTGTTACTGTTAAGCACAGGTTATGGTGTTACGTAATTAGAAGAAGAAGTTAAGTTAGAGTAATATTATTAGTTGATAGTTCATAGATTTATTTGAAACCTTCCTTGCAGGTACGTGCTCAGTGATAAAAATTAATTTAGTATATTGTACGTCTTTTGTTTTCCAGCACGGGAGATCCTGGAGGAAACCATGGAGAATCTGATGGAGGACTACAAGGAATAACTGGTGAGTGGGGGTCGGTAGAAGCACGGTTAAATAGTTGTTTCAAGCCTTGCCTGTTGATAATACACGTTTCTGTAATGGTTATGATTTTCAAGTAGATTTGGACATGTCCAATATCTAAAGTACTGTATTTAGCATCAAGTTTTTAATCAAGCTTATACCTTGTTGAAGCACATATCATCAGTAGGCTACAGCAGACGGCAATGCCATGTCAAGAGCCGCGGCAGAGTAGTTAGTAAAAGTTTTGGTTTGTTAGCAATGCTATATAGCTACCACTCTTGAATTATCCATTCTTAGACCACTATTGTTGTTTCTTCTCTATACTGTAGGCTGGAGTTGTGAAGATCTGGCCAAGAAACTGATGGACATGGAAGTCAACTCGGCGTGACTTTCTTTTCACACGTTCATAGCTTATTCGTTGTTGGAATCTATCTAGTTTGTACCTCTCTTACAGCATTTTAGATATGGACTCTATTTGCAACTCTTTGGCTTATGTCAAATCTATTTTTCTTTTAGCAGTCGAGATCTTCTTTCCTTCCTCCCTTTTGAACTATGGTCTTCTTTTCTGATTTCCTAAATTAGAGTCTATTCCTTTGGTGCCAGCTGTGCATCTTATTCTCTATTTGATGACAACTGTACCTCTACTGCCGAGGTGCGATGTTACAACACAGACAATGTATGCTCATAAGCAGATCTTATAAATTAGTTAGCGGTGTTGACAGCAGTGAGGTTGAAAGGAACGTTCTTTTTTCAAACAAAAGGAAACGTTGGTTTAGATCCGTAGTGAAGGTCCCGGACTAAAGACGTCATCTAGAAAGAGTACATGTCTTAACATGTGAGTTTCGTGGTGCACATGCTAAAGAAATTACAAACTATTTTGAAATATCAAATCATTAAATATCTTTTAAATGAACATGTGTAGAAGGTTAGCTAACTCTTGGTCAACATAATAACCATTTCAGACTATATTGTTGATGTGACTTTCCTTTCAACAGCCAATGGAAAGCTGGCATCTTATTTGAAAATGATATTGAATGGGGCTACAGTGACATGCCATTTGACAAGCAATCCTAACTTGTCTTAGACTAGCATCACACAAAACTCTCCCATAAGACAGGACAAGCTTGAGCGAGAAAAGGATTGAGAGGGGCAATGATCTGTTGTCGGTACAAAAAAACAACAACAAAAAAAATTGGTAGGTTAAGAGAGAAAATGGTCCTGATAAGAAAACTGCAGAGTAGTACATGAAGGAAGTGAAACCTATTCGGCAAGAGTAAAAATCTATGTTTGACGTGGTGGGGAAAAGATTGCGGACAAGGAGTTAATCTCGAAATTCTACAAACATCACAGCAAAAAGACCTAACTCGAAAATACAAGCTAAATGTTCAAATACGGTCAGAATAGCCATTAATACAGTTTTAACGTCATTCCATTTTGTATGGAAAATCTTTATTGATAGCCTTATTTTTCACTTCCTCCATAGTACTTGCTGTAACAGGGTTCTAATGTTTAGTTTCACTTGTTCTAGAAATCAAAATTTTACATAACAATCTGGTAAATTGCTACACTGCTACGAGCTTAAAATTGGAAAATTGGCTAATAAGGTCGACCTACTTGAGGTAACAAAATCTGATTATTTTTGTTTTGGATTCAAAATTAACGAGAGGAATATATTTGGTGATTTTAAAACGTTTTCAGTATCCTGTAGTACACATGTTAAACAAGAATAATAACAGTATACTCCTCTATTTTTACATTATGTCTAGTAGCTCCTCCTCTATCCTTGCGGCTACATTAGTATATACCAGTTGCCTCTCCATTCTTGCGGTATACCTATACAGTAGTACTTCCTCTATTATTTTCTTGCAGTATATCTATATACTAGTAACTCCTCTATAGTTATGGTATATCTATATATAGCTATGTACTACTACCTACTCCTCTATTCTTACAATATATCTAGTATTATTCTTGCAACTCATCTTTTCTTACAGAATATCTATATAGCAGTTACTCCACATCTATCCTTGCAGTATGTCTGTATGCTTATCAACTCCTCTGTTCTTGGAATATATCTATATTTCTACTAGTAAAAGTTAATTAGTGAAGGAAATATCTGCAATGCTATAATCAAAATAATAGTATAGTCTGCGTGAATACATTGCTTAGGAAAACGTGAATGGATTTATGGATATGCATATGAATTATTGTCACCAACTTGTATGGAATATGCGTTCTGAAGACCATCCCTAGAACACGTGAAGTAGCAGACAGGGGCATCATGAGAAACATGGAGAATGGACACAAACTGGATTCGATTATATTTACTGAATTTCAATTAACGCAACGCAGCGCAGCGTATGTATCTGCATTTAGTATGGTGGCAATAAACATGCAGTTTGAGGACCAAATACTTGTTATTCTGGTGTTTTGTTCTTAGCTAGGTTATTTGACTGCATGCATAAAATAACCTAGGGAAGTGAGAGAGAGAGAGAGAGAGAAAGGAAGAGAGAGAAAGGAAGATTTATAGAAAAGGAAGGGAGATAGAGAGACAGCATATGATTTATAACAATATCTAAATGACATAATTCAAAAGCCAGTGTGCAGATTTCCACAGTTATTATCACAGCGGTATCCAACATTATACATATCATTTTATTCTCACCGCATTGTTAACGTTCAAGATTAAAATAGCCAAAAAAAAAAAAGATTTCAATCAATAGTAATAGCTGGTGTGTTACGCCGAAGGGTGGCTATACCTACTATACAGATACAGATAATAATAAAAAGGTCATCGACATATAGTCATGTTAGTCTCCCCGGCATCGTAGACCTTGTTTTCCCTCGGTTGAACAAACACACAGTTAATAAGTTCAACCCCCATTTATCTATAGTCCTGGGGCATGTAACCACAAACTCTGGTAGATTGTTCCTATTGACAACCCATGCGACATACCGAGTACTTTAAACTTACCCAAGTGACCCACCTTCCGGCTTTCCCTGGGGGATAATTGTTCCTGATTACGACACGCAAAACGTCGATCAATGCCCCACACGCACAAGTGTGTGTGCAAGTACTAGTATACACATACATAGTATACATACATACATACATACGTACGTACCGTACCTACCTACCTACACACACACACACGCGCGCGCGCGCGCGCGCGCACACACACACACACACACACACACACACACAGACCGAGGTCTATGAATATCCCCAAAAGAGACTATGACCCCGAGTAACTCTAAATTAAATTTTCCGGATAATTACTCCATTTAACACTGGTGTCTACAGGTGTAATTTTTCAACGTCTGTTTGAAGCTCGCTACACGTTCCTCTGGGCGATTGCTCCGGACTTTCTGTTAGAGCTATGGTCTTCCCGCCATAGCTCTTATGCACATACGCGGTGGTCCCCCTGGGGATCACTCTGGAGAGAGAGTCTTGATGTGAATACACTGTGAGAATGGACAGAGACTGTGTTGGGTTTTGTGTGTCTATTTCCTGGATAGAGGAAGGAGTTAACAAATGGTAGCAGAGGGTGCAGTAGCAGAGTGTACAGCGGATCGTCGGTGAGTGCTCGATCGACATCAAAGTTTGTTTGTGCGCGGGTTTTGGGCGCCAATCGATTCATCGTCTGACTTTCTGCCCATACCTTTAACCCCTTCCCGGACTTCGCCCAGAGTCACTTAGGATAGGTACTATTTAAAGCTGCACGACACGGAACTTTGGTCTCCTATTACCATCATTCACACCTGTTTATCACGCATCCGTTAAATTACTTCCTCTCTTCCACGAACAGTGACTAGAGATTGACTACCTTTAGAGATTGGTCCCGTGAGATAATCGTAATGAACTCACGAGATCAATGGCCATGTGAAGGATTTCTGTGGTTTGATATTTTAATGAATATTCATTATGATGCTGAAATATCAGAGATCATGAGTTTTGATCCAGAAAATATTGACTGACATATTGTCTGTCAAAGTTGCTTAAAATTTGGTCTACTACTACTGTTAACTCCCAAAACAACTGGGTTTGACTTTTCAAAACAGAGTAAGACAAAAGATCTCACTTTTTCTCTAATTTGTGGGTTTTCGGATGTTAAGACGAGAGTAGTTTTCTTTCCATTCGTGTGTGAAAGTTAGGGTAGAATTTGGACTTTTGGAGTCTGCGTCAAGAGTTAATTTTGTTGTTTATTGCTACAGAGAGTACAATTTAAAATAAAATGCGTTTCGTTATCCACCGTATTCAACGCAAGGTGTTTGATATTCTGTATAAAATTCAGTGGATAAATAGGAACATGATGCATGCCTGTTTGATTCTTTCTGGGTTGCAGTATTCAACTTTATTTGTGTTTTTGACGAGTGTCATATATTGCACTTATCTACTAGTACATGTTTGCACTTGTAAACACACAAGTCACGCTCTTTGCACAAGCGATCACGCAACCGATCCAAGTTCATTGCTTCAAAGAACAGGGTGACTACTTCTGCGCATGCCAACTTCACGCGAACACGGCACGTCTACATATTACATATAGATTTCTTTCAGGTTCTTCCAAGAAAACAGGATGGATGTGGTCACGATGGACCTGTAGCGGCTTGACTTCGAAGCTATAAAAGCGGGTGACTTCAGCCACGCTGGCAGTTTGCGGGGAGACGACGAGTCGTGCTGCAGATCAAGACATCGTCAAGTCTTCATCTTGACCAACCAACTGCAAGGTGAGGCACGGAGACCGTCATATTACATATTTTGGTTGTAAGGCCACACCGACTTAATTTTACGGATGACTTCTGCGCGCGCATTGATTTTCGTCTGTTCTCAAAAAGGTTTTAGTTGTAATTCGTCAGTACTTATTGTGTGATATTAACGTATTGCTACATGGGGAGGGGGGAGCAGCGCGCATTTAATTCTTATCTATTATTTTTTTTTAAATAAAGTATTGGTTCAGTTTGATGTTAAATGTCAGGTCGGGATGAGCATGTCGGCTGCTGATACTGTAGAAAGTCACAAGCTTTGCAACATGTCTATTACTTCAGGTTTTGTACAAACCATATCGACGTACTAACTTCATTGTCTTTTGTCATATTTTGTTGCACTTTTGTACATATACAACCTTCGATCTATATATATATATGTGTGTGTGTGTGTGTGTGTATACAGAGCGAAAGAGAGAGAGAGAGATACTGCACTGCATTCGTAACGATACTGCACACAAAATTAAACACCATATATATATATATATATATATATTAATTTTGTGTGCAGTATCGCTACGAATACAAAGACATAACTTACATGTAACCCGCTGAATTTTATTTATTTTGTCTTAAATACAGAGTCACCGGACAGGACAAAGGCTGAAGATGACCCGTCACTTTGAGTTTGTCCTGGCACTGGCACTCTTGGCTGGAGCCGTGTATCCAGGTAAACATTCCATATGATATCAACGGAAACAATGAAAGACAGGTTTTCCGTCTGGATCTAACATTTGCCTATTTTAACATGATAAAAACGTGAAATGTGTAGTTTTCGGATGGAAGCCAAATGATGGATCGGACTAAATACGATTTATCTCTCAACTTTTACCACAAGCCAAGAGCATGGCACAACAGCCGGAAGAGGAACAACAACTGAATGAAGATGCCTCACCTGATATTGAGGAAGTGGAGATGTTACTTAAGAAGCTGGAAGGTAGAGAGACGTTTGTCTTTATAGTGGGTTCGAAACCAATATTGCATTCTCATGTATTATCTCTAGAAAGCAGCTTGTACAATTGTACCATAATCTCATATCATGAAAGCAACTTATGCCAAACTTAACAAATGTGATAAGAAAAAAGGAGAAAGTCCGTCTTTCAGTTTTAAACCGAAAAAGGTGGGTTTTATAGACAGAAATGGAAGATATTTTTATCGAACCTTTCTTTTTTGCTTGACCTTGTCTTATGTTGAAGAGGAAACAAACTGTGTCATAATTTGTGCACTTGAGTAGAGCTTGCTACTTAACTTAATCGTTTCATTGTTTGTCTTACATGTGTACAATTGCATACAATTGTACATGGTATTTCATTTTGTTGGCACAGATTTGGTGGAGGAAGAAGTGATGGCCGGTAACAACGGTATTGATGATCGCAAAAGGCACTTACCTGGTAAGCATGGATTTTATCAGAATGAAACGGGTGTATGATAAAGCTTGTATTCATTATATCACCTCAAAAGCCATTAGTTTAGGCGTCGGTATACATGGAAGTACTTCTGTACATTATATATTGGCACATACACACGTATCGAACACATACTTAATATTGGAAGCAAAATCTCAAAGAAGGGTAGAACATTTGAGTCTGATGACGACATGGCGGGTTCTTTTCCTTTCGATGCATGTGTTTTCTACCTTATTGATTATGTCTATGGTGTACAGGAAAAGGAAATTTGATTCCTTGTTATGTCTTTTCCGCTACAGGTGACATCTATGACCCAGACGTTGCATTAGGAAGACCTACGCGTCAGTCGAGCACAGCACATGGAGGTCCCTCGGCTCTAGCTGTTGACGGTAACAGGAGTCCTCAGCATTCTAACCGTTTCTGCGCACACACGAATGAACAAAACGACCCATGGTGGTACGTCGATTTGGGACGTTATGTCACCGTGGACCACGTCACCATCGTCAACCGCCGTGACTCGTCCTCTGAAAAGATCACACCCTTCGACGTCCACGTCGGGTCCAGCGCTAGCGTGGTCAGCAACCCGAGGTGTGGCGGGCATCACCACTTCCCTCCGACTGAGACCGAGAAGGTTGTCGACTGCGGCGGGTTGAGGGGCAGGTACGTGGGCATCAGGCTGCCGGGGAAGAGGCGAGTCCTGGCGCTGTGCGAGGTGGAGGTATATGCAGGTAAGTACCGTACAGTACCGTACTATACCATGTCATATCCATGCCAGGCCCGCCCCTTGTACGTGTCAAGCAATTGCATATACAAACCGTGGGCCTGGAATCAGAGGGTGACCACCATGAATGATCATATTTGTGTCTAGTCCAACTTTGCTGTGTGGCAGTTTAAAAGGTTGTGAACATGCTTCAGGGGCCACTTGAATGTTGTGCAGAAAAAAATCATTCTACTTACTAGCCGGTGGGGGGAGTTTGTTTCAGAAAGGACAACGCTTAAAAAATAAAGAAATAAGCGATAGCTCCGCAATTGGTTTTTTGTTTCTTGAACATTATCCTGTTTTACTCTCAGCTCCAAACCTAGCGTTGGGAAAACCAACGTCCCAGTCAAATGTCGCACATAACGGGGTTGCCTCCCGAGCGACTGACGGATGCAGGGACCCGAACTATAATAGCCAGTGCTGCACCCAAACTCCGGCTGAGACGGACCCTTGGCTGCAAGTGGACCTCGGAACCTCGGTCAGAGTGCAGTGGGTCGTCCTCGTGAACCGCGCGGACTGTTGCCGAGATCGACTCACCCCCTTCACCATCCACATCGGAAACAATGCGCGCGTAGACCAGAACCCTCGCTGCGGCGGGCATCACACCATCCTCGCTGGTAAGGACAAGGATGCCATCAACTGCAACGGAATGACAGGACGATATGTGGGGATCCGACTGCCCGGCTATGGCCGTGTTCTGACAGTCTGCGAGATAGAAGTCTACACAGGTATGTAAAGCAAACCTTTCTTTTCAGTTTTATTTTTTTTGTGTGCTATTATAACTTTTTCAAACGGCCAAAGGAAGTGTGTCTGTGAGCGTGTGTTTGTGTGAGCGTGCGTGTGTAAAAGAGACAACTGGTTGACGTGGAAGAGTCAATTTTTGCATGGGAAGGGAGTAAACTATGCGGTATTTGCAAGGAGCTTTCATCACAAGGAGGGAGATCGACCTTAGCCGCCCGCTGTGCTCCATTGTTTCGCCCCGCTGCGGCCTATTGTTTACAGGCCCGGCGGCACATCGTCAGATCTGTATGTTTGTAGCGCGTCTTCCCGCGGTTTTCGGCCGATAATGAGCTTAGGCATGACGTCACACGCCCCGATCTGCGCCGAGCATGGGCCGAGAAGGGCCGAGGTGTCGGATTTTTCCGGCGATTCCCATATTTGGAAAACTCGGCAGGGTTACCCCGAGGTCATATTCGGGTGCGGAACAAGATGGCGCTTGTTTACGTACTTTTCTCTATGCTGTACGATAAACACGGGCGATTTTAGAGCATTTTTTGTGGACTGGTCTCTGATTTCTAGCGATAGAAATATGGAAATATAGCTATATTTTTATGTGGCTGTAAGAAAAGTATGGATTTTTTCCTCGGTAAGTGGATATTTTTTCCTAACAGTTGAACATGTGCTCGTTCAAATGACGAGATCATAGTAATTCGTACCGTTCTCATTTTTGTCGTACCGTCCCTGTTTTTTTTAGAATCTGTCGGTTCTTGAGGAAGGAGAGGCCGACACTTTGCGTGTAATTTTTGCGGTGATCGGGTCTTTATTTACTAGTACATGTACATCTTCGGCTCTCTCGTAATTTTTATTTTCTTCGGTCGATTTTGGTTGTGACGTACTGACCGAGATTTTAAAGTAACTTGCAATTCTTCACACCACAATCGCTACTTGTAAGTCCTTGGTTGTAGGAATATTACCGACAAATATCTAGAAAAAAGGAATATGTCATGTTCTATTCCGCAGACTCCACATTTTTACTCTTGCTGTAGAAATATAAAGCGACCCATGCAGACAAATAAATGCAACCCATCTGCAGATGTTGTATAGCATTGATTCAAGAAATCATCGCCCGAGTAATACTCTTTTTCCTATTCTATCATTTCAAAATCCTCCTCAAACCTGCAAAAATAAAAATCGCTCCATAGACAATTCGCCATTACTAGGCTGTGCCAGGTTGTAAACAACCTAAATAACAAAGGGAAGGCGCTAGCGCGCCGGCATGGGATTCATGCATATGAGTGTCATTGGCACTCTGGTGTGAATCAAATTTTCACACGCGCTACGAACATCCTTGAAAGGAAACCAAGGTCGATCTCCCTCCTTGTGATGAAAGCTCCTTGGGTATTTGCTTGCAAACCTGGCCCTTCTAGTGTGCAATATGTTTCCAAGAATGCCTGCAATACCATTGAAGAAGGTGCCTGAATATCGTCCACGAAGTTTGCTTTTATGCCGGATACTCCACAAGCTGGGGGAGGACAGGGTATATCTTGGAACCTTTGTTCCAACAGGAGTCAGCGAACTTTATGTGATCATGAAAACACCTAATATTTGGAGGGGAATGTAGAAGTACCTGTCAAGTTCTGCTACTTTGATGAAAATCATTCCGACTCTTTAGAAAGTCGAAAAGAGGCGAAGAGATAGAAAGAGATAAACACTGACTGACAAACAAACGTCAAACATTTAAACTCTTTTTTTTTCTAGGTACGGTGACAAAGAGGACATCTGAAGTGCGGCAGACCGAGGGAACGGGCTGTGGAGAACATGAGGTTAGGCCAGTTGGTCTCTCTCTCTCTCTCTCTCTCTCTCTCTCTCTCTCTCTCTCTCTCTCTCTCTCTCTGTCTCTCCCTTAAGTACTGTGTCCTGGCTTTAATTTCATGGCTGTGCAATGTTGTCATTTTTACACAAACCCTTACAATCCGCTGTTGCCAGCTCAATTCCTGTCCATGATATTGATGCTTACCTACAGGAGGGGCAAAGCTGGGTGGGTGATGAGGAGGAACACAACTGCAACTGTGACGCCGGCGAAGAGTTCTGCTACAAGGTGGAGTGTGGGGATGATGGAGAAAAGAAACCCATCAAGGGCGAAGAAGGGATGTGGACCTGCGAGGAGACTGAAGAGACCGAGGAAACCGGTATTCAAGATTTAGAACGATTCTTTAAACTATTACAAAACATATATGGATAAGCAAATGCCATCAGAGCCTTCTATGAAGTTTTACTGTGATTCTACAAACTATTACAGAAAGTAGTGGATAGGAAAATATCAGAGCCCCTTCAAACTTCCACTATCAAAGATGTATTTTACTGTTAAGCACAGGTTATGGTGTTACGTAATTGCAAGAAGAAATCAAGTTAGAGTAATATTATTAGTTGATAGTTCATAGAGTTATTTGAAACCTTCCTTGCAGGTACGTGCTCAGTGTTAAAGTATATCGTTCGTCTTTTGTTTTCCAGCACGGGAGATCCTGGAGGAAGCCATGTAGAATGGGATGGAGGACTACAAGGAATAACTGGTGAGTGGGGGCCGGTAGAAGCACGGTTAAATAGTTGTTTCAAGCCTTGCCTGTTGACGATACACATTTTTGTAATGTTCATGATTTTCAAGTAGATTTGGAAATGTCCAATATCTAAAGCACTGTATTTAGTTTACAAGTTTTGAATCAAGCTTATGACTTGTTGAAGCACATATCATCAGTAGGCTACAGCAGACGGCAATGTCATGTCAAGAGCCACGGCAGAGTAGTTCATAAAAGTTTTGGGTTGTTAGCAATGCTACCACTCTTGAATTATCCATTCTTAGACCACTATTGTTGTTTCTTCTCTATACTGTAGGCTGGAGTTGTGAAGATCTGGTCAAGAAACTGATGGACATGGAAGTCAACTCGGCGTGACTTTCTTTTCACACGTTCTTAGCTTATTCTTTGTTGGAAACTATCTAGTTTGTACCTCTCTTACAGCATTTTAGATATGGACTCTATTTGCAACTCTTTGGCTTATGTCAAATCCATTTTTCTTTTAGCAGTCGAGATCTTCTTTCCTCCCTTTTGAACTATGGTCTTCTTTTCTGATCTCCTAAATTAGAGACTTTGGTGCCAGCTGTGCATCTTATTCTCTATTTCATGACAACTGTACCTCTACTGCCGAGGTGCGATGTTACAACACAGACAATGTATGCTCATAAGCAGATCTTATAAATTAGTTAGCGGTGTTGACAGCAGTGAGGTTGAAAGGGACGTTCTTTTTTCAAACAAAAGGAAACGTTAAAGTTCTTGGAATATATCTATATTTCTACTAGTAAAAGTTAATTAGCGAAGGCAATATCTGCAATGCTATAATCGAAATAATAGCATAGTCTGCACGAATACATTGCTTAGGTAAACGTGAATGGAATTATGGATATGAATATGAATATGAATATGAATTATTGTCACCAACTTGTATGGAATATGCGTTCTGAAGACCATCCCTAGAACACGTGAAGTAGCTGACAGGGACATTATGAGAAAAATGGAGAATTGACACAAACTAGATTCGATTATGTTTACTGAATTTTAATTAACGCAACGTACTAGTATGTACCTGCATTTAGTCTGGTGGCAATAAAACAGCAGTTTGAGGACCAAATACGTGTTTTTCTGTTTTTTTTTTTTTTTTGTTCTTGACTAGGTTATTTAACTGCATGCAGAAGTGCTAGAAGGGAAATAAATAAGTTACCGTAAAATTCTCCCAGCATGTTTAAGATCAAAACAGCCACAAAAGGTTTCAATCAATAATAATAATTAAAAGCTCGTCGCCATATAGTCATGTTAGTCTGTTGTCTCCCCGACATCGTATACCTTGTTTTTCCCTCGGTTGAACAAACACACAGTTCATAAGTTCAACCCCCATTTATCTATTGCCCTGGGTCATGTAATCACAGACACAGGTAGACTGTTCGTGTAGACATCTCATAACATACCGAGTACTTTGAACTGACCCAAGTGACCCACCTCCAGGCTTTCCCTGGGGGATAATTGTTTATTCTTACGACACGCAAAACGTAGATCAATGCCCCACACGTACAAGTGTGCGTGTATACATGTACACAGTCACACACACAGACCAAGGTCCGTATGAATATCCCCACCAAACAATATAAATGAAATTTCTATGACACTATGATCCCGAGTAACTCTAAATTGAATTTTCCGGATAATTACTCCATTTAAAATTAGTAAATATCTACTAGACACACCTGGTTTGAACGCGGTGAACTACATTTGTAAGTTGACTAGGCGGGGATAGCAGCTTACAGTGCAGAGAAATCCTAGCCTGAAACTCGGGGAGATAGAGATACAGAGAGAGAGAGCATATGAAATTATTAATGACAGTAATCACATTATGTCAACAGTAAAATGAGATGATATCACTGTGTAATCTTCGCGCAAGATATCTAAGATCAGAACATTCAACAAAGATTTGACAACACTGACGTAAGACCATACAGCGTGCATTCAAGCATGTCAACTGCCAGCGTTATTCTTAACCCGGAAGTAATACATCGAAACACCTGTTGTATCCGGAAATGACCTGTTCGCATCCGTCCGTCGCTCGATTTCAAAAGAGGTGTCAAAACAACAGCGCTCGTCTAGCACAGACGGCTGAGGAAAAATGTTTATCTGCTTTGGTTTGTATGCTGAAATCTTGATATTCTCTTCCTTTCTGGTGGCTATTGTTTTAGCCCTTGTAGTACCCAGCAGGGACACAGGAGAGGAGCAACCCTTACCGAACGGCACAGCGCCGGGCTCCGTTCCGTGTACCGACGACCCGCTTAGTGCGAGCGGTGCGGATGGCAGGGTTGAGTGGGAGATAGGAGAGGAGGATGACAAACCGACGGATGGAGAGAGTGAAAGAGAAACGGAAGGCGACGACGAAATGTTGGGCCCAGATGAGGTCTGTTTATTCAACGTATGATTTAAGTACATAGCCTCTACCAGGCTTCGGGAAGCGGCTGGAAAGGGTAGAGATTGACAAGGGGAGTTGGCCAGCTATTGGAACAGTTTAGCCTGAACCAGGCGGCTGGTAAGATTAGAACCGGGTGTAGTAATCTGTACTCTCCAGCTGACCAACTCCCCCTGTCATATTATCTCTCTATTTAGCCAGTTTCTGCTCTTTCAGCCGCTTCCCGAAGCCTGGTAGAGGCTATGATGTACCGTGTATTTCTTAATACTAGTATCCCCATTAGTGTGAATGCTGTTTATTTTGAACTCAGTGAATACGTTTATCTGGGCTTGTTTCATTGCTTGAGATTTGTGATAGAATTTGAACGACAATAGAACTGTAAGATTATAATGCTTTGGGCTGTATTTTACGTGTCAAATAGGCATGTGTGTATGTATAAATGTATATAGGGTTACCGACGTAATCTATACTTGGTGATTATCATTTTGATTACGCACATTATTATCTCCCCACAGGTCATTCCCTCTATAATTATACTGTTATCTTTGATCTTATAACCTTGTGCACTTTCTTCCTGCTGTACTTTATTCTGTATGTCCATGTTAGCTTGTTGAATATCATGTATTTTAGAAGAATCGTACTTTCCCAATATAATGATGCTAATAGTTGCAAAACGATTGTATAGGTATAAAGTATGGCATCTACTGGTACAAGAGTGTGTGGCTTTATATGGATGGAAATGAGCTGTTCAATTAATTATAGAAGGAATTTCTACTTTTATACTCTCTTTAATACTCTCTTTGTACTAGTATATACCACGCAGGGGTCGTCACATGTCAGATACAAAACCTTTTGGAAAGGTTTCATATCTTGGGGAAGAGGAAAATACGATTTCCCTGAAAAATGCATGCAATGTTCCCATGGTCCGCTAGATTAGGGCAATTTGCGACTCCGTGGGAAACGGATCATCTGTTGTACAACCTTAACACATTCGTCGCACGATGAACAGGTTTACAATAGATATTAATTATGAGGGCAGTGATTCTTAAAACGGCCGTTACTCTCCAACCAGAGGTTGGTGCGGAAAAATTGTGACCATCAAAATACCTATATGTTTTTGGTAGAAATGAACGAAAATATAGTACAATGATCGGCAAAGACTATTTCATACCCTATTACATAAGTATTGGTGAGTAGGGTATGAAATGTCAATTATTCATATAGATCCTACTCTCAGTCATACCGAAGGTTCTTTCACCGTCAGCCAATACCGAGTTAACGTTGTTCCTACGAAGACTGTAATAAAATTGAACGAAAGACAGAAAACATCAAAAACCAGAATGGTATGTTGGTTAATGTTAACGTTGTAGTCATTGACATCTACAATCCACTGTCAAACCTGGCACTGCTTTATATATTACTTGTTGCCTTCTTCGCAGACTTGTGCGGCGGCGGTACAAACATTTCTCTCTACCGGTCCAACTTCCCTGGCATGTTATCTCTCTATTTGGCCGATTTCTATTCTTTTCAGCTGCCTCCCGAAGCCTGGTAGAGGCTACTGATTCGCACAGGGAGTACACGCCGCTGTTGGGACGGCGTCTTAACTCCCTCCGCTGCATAACTCCCTCCCCGGGGTCTACAAAAGAGGCTATTTACTTCAGGGTTTTCCGCATTGCTTTTAGAAGTGGAGCCCATTATTGAACAGCTGACGCTTTTATGGCTACGCACGACATCTGGGGATAACACATGATGGAGTGCGTCACCGTTGCCATGGCAACAGCACGTTTGACTTCGCCATTGTAACAAGCTAATCGTGGAACCATCCAGTCGCAATGGTGAATAAATCTGTGAATACAGTTTTAAAGTAATATACTATGTGCGGTACACGTATTGGGATTTTTGTTATGAAAACATCAAAGTTACGTTTAACGTTGTTATGGTTACAGCATATAAATGCAAATCCATGCCGGAAGGCTACTCGCAAGTGACAGAAAGAACATTAGGCACTTCAAGAGAAAGCGAACATACATTTGTACAACACTACAGGGTGCCTGATCTACTGTAAAATTATTTTTGTTCAAGGCCTTGGTTCATTCTTGGTGTTTGGTTTGAACGTATTTACAGACGACGAAAATAAAATGTAACACGTTTTGCGTGATTTGCGTCTCGTGAGAAGGCAGAAAGCAAAGCCGCAGATGAAAAAAAAATAGGGGATGAAGCAAAATACAATGTACTGCAAAGACAAAAAAACAGAATGTTTTATAGTCGTTTGTGTTTTGAGTCCCCAAATTGTCAACACACGGGAGTGTTTCGGTTCTTCAGAGGTCGTTGAATGGTTGTCCGAATGACCAAGCAGATACTGTGCTTTCTGTTGCATTTTCTGTAGCATACTCTACGGTATATAGAGACCGTGTTATAATACGGTTAGAGCACACCGTATTAAATGAATTTGATCTGCCCCTCACTTACAAAGCATACGTATACTCTTACCGGCTATGAGACAAAAATCGGTGTATATACATCCACTTCACTATCGTTTCTACGCAGAAAAAATGTTACCCACTTATTACTAGTAATTTAAATTCTAGTTGCTGCTCTTCTTCTATAGCGTATCTCAGTGGGAGGAATGCCCGCGTTTGTTTAATTGTGAACGAGAACGCCACAGGGGTACAGTAAAGTGGATGTTACCGTGATTTTGATAATGTAAAATTGAAAACACAGGCCGTCACCTAGAAAACGATATTTGATTGGAACTACATTTGACGAAGCTTTATTTTATAGATCCCGTGTTTTCCTAAACATCTAATATAGGTATCTACGTACATGGATGTAAACCGTTAACTCATTCAATCCCACGGTAATGTCATAAATAATTGCTTAGGAAAACGGTCGGAGAGATCATACATTGATACTCCTATGACATTTGTAAAAAAAAATCAGAAGTTGTTAGAAAACACTGTTCAACCGATATCCGTTGCCTAGCAACGTAACACACAGCAGTACTGCGTAGGGTATAATTTTCTTGATTGTGTATTTGTCATTTAAACAAAATCCTTGAAGTCATTTCTGTGCTCCCGGCGTTTGTTACTCGTAACCAAGGGTCGCCAAAAAAACACACGGCTTTTGAGAGCTTCGTCGCGCTGCTAGTTCTAAAATGGCAGCTCCAGCGTTGTCACCTCTGTCTTCTTCCCCCGAACAGGAGTCCTCGGCGGAGGACAGCATGCCTGAACTTGAGGACATCGCGACAGCAGCTACAGATATCAGTCTGAGCGAACAACAGAAAGATGCTGCAGACGACAGCACGACGACGCCTGGGAACGAGAACGGCACAGAGAAGGCATCAGAAGGCGAAGATGCGGCCAAGGAAGAAAAACCTGACGAAGACCAGGTAAACGATAATTGCGGAGGGGCAGAAGAAGAGCAAGAGAAAGACAGCCCCGATGCAGTGAAAGAAGAAAGCGATCTTGTACAGGCTGCTGCAGAGGTACAAGCAGATACTGAAAATGGCGAGGCTGGAAAAGAGAAGGAACAGGAGCGGACAGAAGCCAGCGCGCCGCCGGAGCCTGTCGTTGCTAAGAAAAGCGGCACCACCAAAGTACTGAAGAAGAAGAAGAAGAAAACGCGCAGCCAGCCGCCCAGCATTTTTAGCTGCCCGTTCATGACGTCAGAAATGATGGAGCCCAGCGAACAGAGCCGCGGGCCGTGGCGGCGGAGAGAGCGAGGGAAGCCGAAGGGCGTCTACGGCCTCCTCGCGGATGGCAAGAGTAAGGCGGACCGGGAAGAAGCCACGCTCACGGAGGCACCACAACACGGAGCGAACGGTGAGGATCCGGGTAAGGAAGGAAACATCGGAGAAGAAGAAAAGAAAACCACAAGCCCCGTCCCAGATAGCGACGACGACGTGAAAAAGGTGAAGGAAGAGATTTACGAAGAGGCGTGCCCACAACGTAAGGTCTACAAGGAGGCTGAGCGAGGCATGACTGACGAAGACAGGGAAACCGAAAGACGGTAAGGTTCTTAAGAATCCAGCTCGCCTTTTCTTAAGAACCCCATTGATGGCGTAAGATGAAACGATGCTGCGAATGATGAAAGTGGTCGATCTATTGTTGTCTAGAGCTAGCTAGAGAGTTGATTTGATTATATGGATGACATCCAAAAACAAAGTTGCCTTCATTATTAAATCTACGTTGACATGGGAACAAATGGCTAAACATACGGAGTATGCTATGGCAAATAATATACTCTTCATTTTAATTTATTCACATTAAATTTCCTCCTTTTCCCTTGGAATCGATTTTTGCATTCTACATTTGATATCTTTTTCGAATATTTTTTTTTCAATTTACGGCATATATTTGCCCATTTTGCAGCTGCTTTGTACGATTTACAGTATGAAGGAAAATTGTCATTCAAATAATCAAATCGACATGGCCTTAATTGCAGAAATAGCTTTCATCAAACCAGCCTTTTGTTTTTACCCAGGATTCAGCGGGAACAACTGGCGGCCATCTTTAAATTGATGCAAGACAACGAGGACAAATTCGGCGTCCAATCGTACGACGACGTGGAAGAACAGATGAAGTTATACAAGACCTAAAATATTTTACTCAAACACAGCGTTAGAAAAGCTCGTTGAGTGTTTAAAACGTTGTTGCATTGTTTTAGTTGCTAAGTGGTATTTTTAAATTCTGTCCATGTTCTTGTGCCATATCTAAAGCATCCCAATGCAACTTTTTTTATCATATCAAGGAGGTTAAAAATGTTCATTTTGAATCCCCTTGCTTTTACGAAAAATTATCATTCCCAAATATTCTCAAGTATAAAATTTTTTGTAATTTCATCTAAAAATGTTGTTGGCGGTCCTTCCAAAAAAGCCATTGTAGACGGTGGTCTAAAAATAACAAAACCTGGTTTGTAAATTATAGGCTTATCCCAAAATAACAGCAATAATCAAAATGAAAATATTTGACGGACACGTAGCCACTTTTCATTGGTCGAGCCGCTATAATAGCCACGCTATCATTGGTTGAACCACTAAATTGTGCTGGACAGTTAGGATCTGTTCATTCAGTACCAAGGACAGAGCTTTATATCATGGAAGGATAGATTTTTATCAGTAACAACTACCATGTGGTGTTTGTGTTGTGTAAGTACAGTCTTAATATAGGAGCCAATTTTATCTTGGTAAACATGGTAAGAAAATTTAAACATACACAACACAAGAAAGGTACAGTGTCAGTTAGATTTCCTTGTTCAAACGCAAAGATAAGTTGCAGAGGTGTGAGATGGATTCAAGTGTTTTTTGTGCGAAATATTCATGTAAGTATTATCCTAGTAATGTAGTTCTATTTGTATGCTGAAGAAGAGATTTGGTTGTGATATACCAAGGAAAAGTCGATCTTTTTTTGTTTTCAATTAAACTGTATCAATGTGAACGTTTGTTATCCTTGAGTTTCAGTGAAAACTTTGGCTGGTAGTCAGTCTTATTTAAAGTTCAGATACCATTGTTGTCTTTCATATGATAAGGTCTGGGAAAACTAACAGTTGTGTTTCTAGCCTCATACCTGAAAAAAACTACGGCAGGTAGCTAGCCAGGAATGCAATCCCAAACGGAGAAATCCCAACAGGATAATCCGTTGGATTAAAGAAGCAGTCTGAATAAGAAAATCAACCCCAGTGATGAACCGGGACGAGGGGGGATACAAGCTCAGCCACGTTTGGGATTGCATTCTCGCCGCAAAAGCGCCACCTACTTTGGCGTTAAATAGCGGCGAGTTGCAGAACTCCAGTCAGAAGCTCTGAGGAAGGTGTCTGATAGACATCGAAACGTAAGCAGGTGAGAAACTTACTGGTTATGTAAGAAGAAAATTCTATACCCTAATTCTTTAACTTACGTGTTGCTACCCTCTTTATGTTTTACAGAAATAAATATTTGGTTCAACATTTGTTTTAGTCCGAGTGATACTTTGAGAGTTATGAATTGTCTAATTCAGAACATTCAAATACAATTTACCAATTGATTTGATGCAAAAATTTGGGATATAATACAAGCAAGGTCAAACAGTTATGGATGGAGTCAAGTGTCATTTGTAAATATGTATATGCAAATACAATACTTTGTTTTCAGAAACTTTTATTACAATAATAACTGAAGCACTTGTTACTGACAACATACAATCTTTAAATACCTTTTGTATGAGGTCAAATAAAGATGTCATTAACATAGACTTAGAACTACTTTTAGGGACATGGTGGATAATAAATCATTTAGATGATGTTGGTACTTGCAAGGAGGTTCAAAAAGGAGCTACAATGAACCGAAGAGAAAAGCCAAAGCTGCATTTTTTCAGGACTCGCAGTTTGTAAAATCTACGTGTGAATATATGCACCACAGCTTGTATGATCAGTTACAACCAAGGAGGTTTAAAATCAACGGCACAACATTTTTTTTTGCAGTTTTCCGTTTTTCCGCAAGACGACCTCAGTAACATTAACACATCACCGACGATTTGCGGTTTTTCGTTTACGACAATCTTGGCGAGTTGCGGCAGTTGTTGACCGTGTACCCAAAGAAAGTGTCTATTGACAGGACCATCCTATCAATAACAGAAAAATTTCCACTATTGACAGGGTGGTCCTGTCTTTAGTGCAACTTTTCTGTTATTGACAGGACCATCCTGTCAAATGTGCTGTGTGAATTTTTTCACTATTGACAGGACCTTTTCAACGCATTGTTAGCAATCAATCAGACGCCAACATCTGCCAGCATAGACTTAACAAACTACAAAGTCGCAGTATATTTGTCAATAATTGGTAACGTCAGTGTTCAGCCCTAACAAGTAATGGTTGAAAACTTGTGTTTGTTGGCGTATACTTGGCAGCGCGCCACCACCGGTCGAGAAGAGTGGGCTGCTCGACCCCCTCCCCCGCCGGTGCCCTCGCCCTTCGACGTGCTGCTCGGGCGGCACGGGCGGAGGACGCAGGCGGCCCGTGGTGCGTGCATGCAGCGGGCGGTCTGCGGCGCCTGGCACCTCTTCTCCCGGCGGACACGACCCGCCCGTCACGGTGTTCTCACTACCTGATCCACCCATACGCTGGCGGTGGGTTGATCTCGCTAGACTTACGTATTGAACTTTCGTGATTAAAAATGAAATAGAACATTTATGCGATATTGGAACAGTATCCAAATCTTGTCATATTTGATTTTTATGCCGTAACAACCTTAGAATTTGGCTTGTTTAAAACTTTTATTAAATGTTAAATGGAGTAATTATCCGGAAAATTTAATTTAGAGTTACTCGGGGTCATAGTCTCTTTTGGGGATACCTCGGTCTGTCTCTGTGTGTGTGTGTGTGTGTGTGTGTGTGTGTGTGTGTGTGTGTGTGTGTGTGTGTGTGTGTGTGTAGGTAGGTAGGTAGGTACTGTACGTACGTATGTATGTATGTATGTATACTATGTATGTGTATACTTGCACACACACTTGTGGGGCATTGATCGACGTTTCGCGTGGAGTAATCAGGAACAATTATCCCCCCAGGGAAAGCCTGGAGGTGGGTCACTTGGGTCAGTTCAAAGTACTCGGTATGTCGCATGGGCTGTCAACACGAACAATCTACCTGTGTCTGTGATTACATGACCCAGGGCAATAGATAAATGGGGGTTCAACTTATTAACTGTGTGTTTGTTTAACCGAGGGGAATGCAAGGTCTACGATGTCGGGGAGATAACAGACTAACATGACTATATGGCGATGAGCTTTTAATTATTATTATTGATTGAAATCTTTTGTGGCTGTTTTAATCTTGAACATGCTGGGAGAAAATTTAAGGTAACTTCTTTATTTCCCTTCTAGTACTTCTGCATGCAGTCAAATAACCTAGTCAAGAGCAAAAAAAAACAAACAGAAAAACACGTATTTGGTCCTCAAACTGCTGTTTTATTGCCACCAGACTAAATACAGTGACATAGGTTGCGTTTATTGAAATTCAGCAAATATAATCGAATCCAGTTTGTGTCAATTCTCCATGTTTCTCATAATGTCCCTGTCAGCTTCTTCACGTGTTCTAGGGATGGTCTTCAGAACGCATATTCCATACAAGTTGGTGACAATAATTCATTTCATATTCCATAAATCCATTCACGATTACCTTAGCAATGTATTCGTCCAGACTATACTGTTATCTTGATTATAGCATTGCGGATATTGCCTTCACTAAGTAACTTTTACTAGTAGAAATATAGATATATTCCAAAAATAGATAAGGAGTTACTAAGAATACAGACATACTGCAAGGATAGATGTGGAGTAACTGCTATATAGATATTCTGCAAGAAAAGATGAGTTGCAAGAATAACATTAGATATATTGTAAGAATAGAGCAGTAGTTAGTAGTATATAGATATACCAGAACAATAGAGGATACTAGTATATATATAGATATACTGCAAGAATGTAATGGAGGTGTTACTAGTGTATAGATATACCGCAAGAATAATGGAGAGTTTACTGGTATATACTGATGTTACCGCAAGAATAGAGGAGGAGCTACTAGTATTTTGACATAATGTAAAAAAAGAGTATACTGTAATTATTCTTGTTTAAAACATGTGTACTACAGATTATTGACAGCGTTCTAAAACTAAAATCACCAAATATATTCCACTCGTTAATTTTGAATCTAAAAGAAAAATGATCCACCTTTTGTTACCTCAAGTAGGTCGACCTTATTAGCCAATTTTCCAATTTTAAGCTCGTAGCAGTGTAGCAATTTGCCAGATTGTTATGTAAAATTTTGATTTCTAGAATAAGTGAAACTAAACATTAGAACCCTGTTACAGCAAGTACTATGGAGGAAGTGAAAAATAAGGTTATTAATTAATAAAGAACGATTTTCCATACAAATGGAATGGATTTAAAACTGTATTATTGACTATTTAGACCGTATTTGAACATTTAGCTTCGAGTTACGTCTTTTTGTTGTGACGTATGTAGAATTTCGAATTCCTGTCCGCAATCTTTTCCCCACCACGTCAAACATAGATTTTTAGTCTTGCCAAATAGGTTTCACTTCCTACATGTACTACTCTGCAGTTTTCTTATTAGGACCATTTTCTCCCTCAACCCACCAAGTTTTTTTTTTTTTTTTGGTACCGACAACAGATCATTGCCCCTCTCAATCCTTTTCTCGCTCAAGCTTGTCCTTTCTTATGGGAGAGTTTTGTGTGATGCTAGTCTAAGACAAGTTAGGATTGTTTGTCAAATGGCGTGTCACAGTAGCCCCATTCAATATCATTTTCAAATAAGATGCTAGCTTTCCATTGGCTGTTGAAAGGAAAGTCAAATCAACAATATAGTCTGGAATTGTTATTATATTGACCAAGATTTACCTAACCTTCTGCATATGTTCATTTAAAAGATTTTTTAGTGATTTGATATTTTTAAAATCATTTGTAATTTCTTTAGCATTGCACCACGAAACTCACATGTTAATACCCGTACGCCGTACTCTTCCTAGATGGCGTCTTTAGTCCGGGACCTTCACTACGAATCAAAACCAACGTTTCCTTCTGTTTGAAAAAAGAACGTACCTTTCAACCTCACTGCTGTCAACACCGCTAACTAATTTATAATATCTGCTTATGAGCATACATTGTCTGTGTTGTAACATCGCACCTCGGCAGTAGTGGTACAGTTGTCATGAAATAGAGAATAAGATGCACAGCTGACAACAAAGGAACAGCCTCTAATTTAGGAAATCAGATCAGAAAAGAAGACCATAGTTCAAAATGGAGGAAGGAAATTAAGAAGATCTCGACTGCTAAAAGAAAAATAGATTTGACATAAGCCAAAGAGTTGCAAATAGAGTCCATATCTATAATGCTGTAAGAGAGGTACAGACTAGATAGTTTCCAAGAAAGAATAAGCTAAGAACGTGTGAAAAGAAAGTCACGCCGAGTTGACTTCCATGTCCATCAGTTTCTTGGCCAGATCTTCACAACTCCAGCCTACAGTATAGGGAAGAAACAACAATAGTGGTCTAAGAATGGATAATTCAAGAGTGGTAGCATTGCTAACAAACCAAAACTTTTATGAACTACTCTGCCGGGGCTCTTGACATAGCATTGCCGTCTGCTGTAGCCTACTGATGATATGTGCTTCAAAGGCATAAGCTTGATTCAAAACTTGTACACTAAATACAGTGCTTTAGATATTGGACATTTCCAAATCTACTTGAAAATCATCAACATTTCATAAATGTGTATCATCAACAGACAATGCTTGAAACAACTATTCAACCGTGCTTCTACCGACCCCCACTCACCAGTTATTCCTTGTAGTCCTCCATCAGATTCTCCATGGTTTCCTCCAGGATCTCCCGTGCTGAAAAACAAAAGACGTACGATATACTTTAACTTTTAACACTGAGCACATACCTGCAAGGAAGGTTTCAAATAACTCTATGAACTATCAACTAATGATATTATTCTAACTTGATTTCTTCTTGTAATTACGTAACACCATAACCTGTGCTTAACAGTAAAAAACATCTTTGGTAGTGGAGGTTTGAAGGGGCTCTGATATTTTCCTATCCACTACTTTCTGTAATATAGTTTGTAGAATCACAGTAAAACTTCATAGAAGGCTCTGATGGCATTTGCTCATCCACATACTGATATGTTTTGTAATAGTTTAAAGAATCGTTCTAAATCTTGAATTACCGGTTTCCTCGGTCTCTTCAGTCTCCTCGCAGGTCCACATCCCTTCTTCGCCCTTGATGGGTTTCTTTTCTCCATCATCCCCACACACCACCTTGTAGCAGAACTCTTCGCCGGCGTCACAGTTGCAGTTGTGTTCCTCCTCATCACCCACCCAGCTTTGTCCCTCCTGTAGGTATCAATATCATGGACAGGAATTGAGTTCAGGAACTGGCAACAGTGGATTGTAAGGGTTTGAGTAAAAATGACAACATTACACAGCCATGAAATTAAATCCAGGAGACAGTACTTAAGGGAAAGACAGAGAGAGAGAGAGAGAGAGAGAGAGAGGAGAGACAGAGAGACAGAGAGAGAGAGAGAGAGAGAGAGAGAGAGAGAGAGAGAGAGACCAACTGGCCTAACCTCATGTTCTCCACAGCCCTTTCCCTCGGTCTCCCGCACTTCAGATGTCCTCTTTGTCACCGTACCTAGAAAAACATAAGAGTTTTAATGTTTGACGTTTGTTTGTCTGTCAGTGTTTATCTCTTTCGCCTCTTTTCGACTTTTTAAAGAGTCGGAATGATTTTCATTAAAGGAACAGAACTTGACAGAATGGGGTTTACTTATGCATCCCCTTACAAATATTGCATGTTTTGATCACATCGCGTTCCAACAAATTGCTGACAAGACCTTAGAACAAACCTTCCAACTCCCAATACTCCCCCAGCCTGTACAGTATCCAGCATAGAAGTTTATTACTTGAAAGTGTCATGATGACAAAAAAAAAGAACTGAAAAGAAAAGTTTCCTTTACATACCTGCGTAGACTTCTATCTCGCAGACTGTCAGGACGCGGCCATAGCCGGGCAGTCGGATCCCCACATATCGTCCTGTCATTCCGTTGCAGTTGATGGCATCCTTGTTCTTACCAGCGGGGATGGTGTGATGCCCGCCGCAGCGAGGGTTGTACTCTACACGCGCGTTGTTTCCGATGTGGACGTTGAAAGGGGTGAGTCGCTCTCGGCAACAGTCCGCGCGGTTCATGATGACCACCCACTGCACTCTGACCGAGGTTCCGAGGTCCACTTGCAGCCAAGGGTTCGTCTCACAATTAGTGTGGGTGCAGCACTGGCTACCCCAGTTCGGGTCCCTGCATCCGTCAGTCGCTCGGGTGGCAAACCCGTTATGTGCGACATTTGACTGGAAAGTTGGTTTTCCCAACGCTAGGTTTGGAGCTGAGAGTGAAACAGGAAAATATTAAAGAAACAAAAAAGCTATTGTGGTGCTATCGCTTATTTCTTTTGAAGCTTTGTCCTTGCTGAAAGAAACTCTCCCACCTGCTACTAAGTAGAATAATTTGTTCCTTCAAGTGGACCCCTGAAGCATGTTCACAACCTTTTGAACTGCCACACAGCAAGTTTGGACGACACAGGTGCACAATATGGCATGGTATGGTCATCCTATATGCAATTGCTTGACACGTACAAGGGGCGAGCCTGGCATGGATATGATATGAGATGGTACAGCACGGCACGGTACTTACATGCATATACCTCCACCTCGCACAGCGTCAGGACTCGGCTCTTCCCCGACAGCCTGATGCCCACGTACCTTCCCCTCAACCCGCCGCAGTGGACATTATGCTCGGTCTCAGTCGGAGGGAAGTGGTGATGCCCGCCACACCTCGGGTTGCTGGCCACGTTAGTGCTGTCCCCGACGTGGACTTCGAAGGGTGTGATCCTTTCAGAGCAGCAGTCACGGCGGTTGACGATGGTGACGTGGTCGACAGTGACTGAACTTCCCAAATCGACGTACCACCATGGGTCGTTTTCTCCATGCGTGTGTGTGCAGGAATTGTGATTCCAGTGAGGACTCCTGTTTCCGTCCACAGCTCGACCCGGGGTACCTCCCCACCCTACGCTACATTGAAACGTAGGTCTTCCTGATGCAAGGTTTGGGTCAGTAAAGGTTGCTTGATCTGAAAGTAACGTTAGTGAAAACGATTTGATTTTGATAGTATATACCAAGGGAAACAATCAACCTTCAGCGGACTGACTCGCCTGGCCAATTCTACTCTTCTTGTTGCCAAATAAATTTTTATGGGCTTCCATGAAAACAGGACGAGTGTAAAGACTTATCGGACAACCCCGACTTGTACCTAAGATGAAGAAATAAAAAAAATCACCATATCAATCCCCTTATAAATATTGGACCCCTTTCTTAGAAAAAAATGCAGCCAGCTTCTGACCTCTGATGGAGCAGAACTTCCAGCGCCCAGTACTCCCCCAGCCTGTAGAGTACCCAGCATACGAGACGCGTAGCGGGTTGGGATCCCTCCACGACATAAACGGCTGAGCGACACCACCCTTTCCAACAGAAATGGTTCCGTCTGGGGCGCAGTTAATCCAAAAGGTCCTGAACTCGGTTGGCGAGTCGATGCCTGTTGGGTATGTTAACATCAACCATCAGTTTTCTATATTCATATATAACTCTGTATTGATTAAACAGTAAATCATGGAACTTGTACTGAAGCACTGCACAGCACTCAGCCATATATTTAGAACAGGAAGTAATTTTAGAGCAGCATCAAATTTGATAAGGAAGGCTGACCTGGTGTCGAGACAAAAGCGAGATTGGGACCTAGCTTTCTTCGTCGTATGGCTGATCTTGTATTTGCCCATCCACCGATGAGAATTTCGTACATGTCCGTAACGTCGCGGTTTGCTGGTGACAGGCCAATGAAGGCATCGTTTCGTGCAGATACTTGAAACGTGAAGCGCGGTCCCGTAAGCCGGAGCGAATCCCATCGGTATCGGTAGGTGGTGTCGGTTGTTTTGAGCAAGCAGTTATCTGCAAGATATCAATGAAACAGGATACTAGGTCAAACTATCATTAACTATTCGCCACAATCGTAGGTACTAGGATATTAGAAATAAATCCAGGCAAAACACGAAAAATCTAAAATACCAAACTAATTTAGCAAGATATGTTTTTCCGCTATTCTGTAAACTCTAAACCCAGCTACGTATAAGTTCTGACAAGTAAAAGTCTGATGATATTCAAAATTCACACTCACGAATTGGTGCAGAAAGTCTTTTTTCGGGAAACAGCGCCGTCTCCTCATCACCAATGATGTTGTTAGCCATCACTTCTTCATCCACCAAATCTGTGTGAAAAAATTAATCGCCAAATTGTAGCGTAGACTGAACAAGGAAGCACTTTTTGAGCATAATTAAGTAGCAAGGTCTACTAAATACACATAAATACACATAAAGCTTTCCATCTACCTTCAAGCTCTTTGAGCAGAGTCTCTGCTTCCTCTATTTCAGATTCGGGATATTCGTCAGTCAGTTGTTCCTGGGAAGGCATGCTTTTGCCTTGTGGTAAAAATGAAATAAAACAGATTTAGACTGATATGCCTTCATTATACCAGCACTTAATACAGCGAATTTCCTGTTATAATAATTTTGTCAAAGATGGACTGACCTTATGCAGTGTAAAGAGGCAGACGTTATAAATCTAAATGGTAAAACCTGTAGTGCTTCTGTTTCTATCATGGAAACGTTTACCTGGGTACACGGCTCCAGCCAGGAGTGCCAGAGCCAGGACAAACTCAAAGTGACGGCTCATCTTCAACCTTTGTCCTGTCCGGTGACTCTGTATTTAAGACAAAAATCCAGCGGGTTACATGTAAGTTATGTCATTGAAAAGCATTCGTAGCTTTCTGTACAAAAAAAGATAAATATATATATAGGGTACTACGTATATGAGAGAGAGTGCACATACTTGATAAATCATGTCAAGTTTGGTTACAGATGACAACCATACACACAAACAATTACAACATAATGTTCTCAACAGTTGAATTGCTAAACTCCTTTGCAGCAAGCCAACTAGATGATGATCAGCAACATCGAACTCGATCATCGTCATCTCAAACAAAAGTGCGGCGACTTTCAAAATGACATTGTTCCTACATATATTAGACATGGATCGGCCTACACTTAAGTTGCCACAAAAGTCATATGGTCTTGGGGAGTTAGTCATGGATGTCCTTGTTTGTTTACATCGTTCAATGTGACAACACTTGAGGAGAAGTCGACAAACGTTGTCGAGTAACGTTAACGTTAAACCTTGGCTTTGAATGAGTTACTGGCCCACGATGTCACGTATTACAGAGCGCCCTTCTATAGTGGACAAATTGGACGTGGCCGTCCACTCCTTGAACTCTCTAATGGTTATGCTGTGATAAGTCACTTTGAAACAGCCATCATTAAGTATCATCATCCAAGTATCCATTATTTGAACAGATGGATAAACAACCTTTATCTCATTCATGATCAGGTATAGAATGTGTGGAATGTGGGACGACACCCACATCTGTAAGTCATCGGGAACTCACATTTCTACAACAAAGGAACGAAGATTAACATTTCTTCCGCTCTCTAAGCCCAGGATAAAAAAGCCTGCCAAGATGAACGATAACAAAGAACAAAGATCAAAGATAGGTGTTCATTACGCCAACATAAAATAAAATAAAACACAAAATAAAATTCCACTTATTTCACAAAAAGCCACCTTTTGTTTCAAAAAGAAAGGAAAGGGCAAGCATCTCAGATAAAATTAATGGATTTGTTGGCAGTTCAGGCAATCTGATGACAACTTATACTAACAGTACAAACCACGGTCGATATCTACGGGGAAACTTCAAATTGTCACTACACTCACATGGAGTAGTAGATTCTACAAAAAAAAACCTTTTGTTATGAGAACCATGAAGGACTTGCTAAATCTTCATTAATGCCCATAGTTTAGGTTTATGTACATATCTTATAGATTTTAATTGTAATATCTTTTTAACATCTTAATGACATGTTGATTTTAAGTCTCAACTTGGATATTTTGAGACAAATCCATGCGGAGCCTTGTGCAGAGATGGCTGCGCACAAAATGTCAAGCATTTGTATAAATTGAATTTTTTTTTTCAAGCGCGCGCTGAAAAAAAACCCCAGCTTTTCTGGGCGTGTTGTGAGAATTCGAAGCCAAACTTTTCCCAGGCTAGAGAGAGCGTTTCTAATTATAGTTCCGTACGTATCAGCCAATGACAGCGCCTGAATCTAACACTTAAGGTTCCGGGTCGGAGTTTAATTCTGACCAAATAGTGCGCAGTAAATCGCCGGATCTGCGAGGTTGTCACGCTAGGTTTGGCTCCCCATAGCTCGGCGATCGCTGTAGATTTTCAACTAGGTTTTGAATTGATCAAAAAGCCTTGGGATTGTAGTGTTTTTCGGCGCGGTGAAGTTGGACGGCCAGCGAAGCGTTTTTGGTATTAGTCCGCGAGCAAGGGTGATGCGGTTTGTCGCCTGATGACCCAAATAGCTGCGTTCTATGTGGAATTTCTAGGGGTTCGCGTCACCGGATTTTGCGAAAAACTTATCGCAACAACCTATATTTTTTTTCTGTTTTTCAGAAACAGATAGTAGTAAGCTAGTTCAGCATATAAGCCGTTAGCCTGGGAAAATTCGTTTTTTCCAAGCAGGTCCGTTGAAAAAACTGCAAAAAAAACTACATTTTTCGTATCCAAAATTTACGTTTAACTACAGTTTCTACCCAAATTATAGAGTCGACGGACAATAACCAAAATTGTATCGGAAGCCGGCTGGAAACCTCCGTTGACTGATGTAATGAGATTTCCCGGCGTACTTTTTTTGGCGGAGTTATAGCCCTTCGGTCTGAGGGTGTCCGCCGGATCCAAAATCGTGAAAAAAACTCCGGTCCGAGACCTTAATCAGGCGAACGTGCGTAAGCCGTTCAACCTGTTGTTTCAGGGGAGGGGCAGTGCCGTAAGACATCCCAAGGCGCTTCGTGACAATTAGGACGATCCGCGACAAGTCATCACAGTTGTACATAGCACAATTATGGTAAACAACTACAGGGGAGACCAAGCAGTTTTTTCAACCTCACGAAAACAAGGGAGGATACTAGTTCTTCTTTTTCTTCCGATAATGCCCATCTGCCTAGAAATCGGCAATGACTGGCACGTGGGGGAAAGGTGTGTAAAGCGCGCATGTTCCAAGGGCACAACGTAGTACTAGGTGGAATCGAACTCAAGACCCATGGGTTCCGGGCCGAATGCCCTACCATTACACCAAAGGACGCCACAGAAATCAAATTTTGAGGCATATTGTACACTTCTAGTGTTCTATTACGAGCAATGTAAACAATATAATATTTTTGCCATCATTTTTGGTGGTATAATAGACACATAATAAACTTAAAACAGAGCTACGGTGAACCGAAGAGAATTAGTCACAACTGTTACAGTTTTTTTTCTCTGGTACGCGCAGTTTGAAAAATCCACAACAACTTGCTTGACTGCACGGAGAATACATCTGACAACAAAATGACGCCAAATATCTAGCCGCCTTCGTAAACTTATGGGGAGCAACGCGAGTTATGTCGCGGTGTGACGGTTTTGCTAGCCTCTACCAGTCTGCAAGAAGCGGATGGAAAGATTGGAAATCGGCCAAATTGAGAGATAACATGTCAGGGGAGTTGGTCCGCGCTGAGAGAACAATTTGTCGTTCTGTCAGCGCGGACCACCTCCCCTGACATGTTATCTGACTATTTGGCCGATTTCCAATCTTTCCAGACGCCTTCCGAAGCCTAGTAGTAGAGGCTACTGTTTTGCCCTCAAGGAGTTTACCGGGGAGACGGTAGATTTGACATTGTGCAGTATCATGCCTCCTGTACGGGACTCCTCCTCCGAAAAACTTCAGAGGAATTCCTCCAACCGTATTCGATTGTATATCATATATGTGAGGTCTTGAGAAGAAAAAGTCGAATGGTATCGAAAAACCAATATCACTTATACGTTTAGTTCATTCACCAAGGACAGTCACCAACCGGTAGAAGTGCGTCTTGAAAAAAAAGTAGCTCTTCTGAGCGCGGTGCGAGAAGGGCGAGCTTTTCCCACACTAGGACCAGAGTCTCTAATTATAGGTTCCTAAATATCTACCAATGACAGTGCCCGATGACAACGAAAACCGTGCGTAAGCCGTTCAACCTGTTGTGTCAAAGGAAAGGGGAGGGGCAGTGTCGTAGTTCACTTTTGGGAGGGCTCGTTGGACACACCTTATATTGAACCTGTCAAAAGACACAGAGACTAACGGCCGGGAAAAATTGATAATTACTTGTTATCACTAAACGAAGGCGACAGAGATAGATTGCACATTACAGAGTGACATACCACCACGATTGACTACAAAATGGCAAGTAATGTGCTTGCCGTAATATTTTCGCATACAACGTAATTCGTTTTACGTCGTATCTGTATCTTTTCACATAACATATAGCTTTCTATCCTAACATGGTATAGTTGCGTACGAGCTTGTACGTACATAACAGCAGCAAAGTGAAAAAAAAATCTGCATTAACTTATAAAATACAATGGTAAGTATCCAGGTGGGAAGATACGTAAAACGTTGACACTTTCAACTAAAGACAAGGCAAACTTCACTACAGAGTCGACAAAATGTCAGATATTTGGCAGCCTCTGGATCCTTCGTAGACTTGTGTGGCGGCGGCGTAATTTTTTCTTCTTTTTTTGTGGAGCGACGTTGTGGGGCGGCGACGTTAATTGTTTTTTCGGGGCGCGACGCGAGTTATGCCGCGGTGGGAAGGTTTTGCCTCCGACTCGGGGAGTTTTCCGGGAGAGAGTTTTTTTTTACCGTTTTTGGGGCGGTGAAAAATATCTCCCTCGGCGGCAAAACCGGTGCAAAACTCGAATCGCTCCCCGAAAATAAATTAACGCCAGCCGCCCCACAAGTCTGCGAAGGGGGCTAGATATTTGGCGTCATTTTGTTGCCAGTTGCCGCTCAAAGACACCGCTAAATGCGAGGTGTCCAAATACAAGTAAAATGTGAAAGGTGTGATAAAATATGACCACACTCACGCTTTAACTTCGAAGATTCACCGAAGACGATCTCCGACCGGTAGAAGTGTTGTTTCAAACCCAGCACTTCTGAGCGCGGTGCGAGAAGGACAGACTTTCCCCAGACTGAAGACAGTCTCTTATTATGAATTCCTAAATGTATCTACCAATGACGTTGTCCAATGACAAGCACGTACGTAGTCGTTGAACCTGTTGTTTCAGAAGAAAGGGAGGGCCAGTGTTCAATTTTTAGAGGGCTCTGCTCCATACCATAAGAGCAACGACATGGAAAACTCGGCAAGACAAATGATTGACACTTGGACTACATAGTTTTATTTTTTTTTTTTGCAGGCGACTACTCTACAGGGTTTTTGAAGGGTAAGTTGGACGTGACCCTTAAAATCGAAATCACTATACATTTTGAACTTAAGTTGACTCAGCCATATTATGATGTGATGATATTATTGTGTCATTTCGATCAGAAGATATACCAGCAACATTTTATGATCAGATACAAAATGTGTGGAATGTGGGACGACATCATTCATCAGGCACTCCCATTTCTCTACAAAAAGCTGTTGAAAAGGGAGGGGATCTTCACATTTGTTCCGCTTGTTGCCCAGGATAAAGGAGCCTGCCAAGATATCTGTAGTCTACTAAAGGTCACATATTTTCCATCATTATTGTCGACAGATCACACCCTTCCTGGATCTATCCATTTGGTATTTGTAATTACAGGGAGGGGATCTTCACATTTCTTCAGTGACCTCCATTTAAAGCCTATCCAAGGGACGTCCCTAACCAAAGGTAGGTACTCATTTACACCTGAGTGAAGTGGGGGAAAGTCGTGTAAAGTGCCTTTTCCAAGGGCACAAGATCGGTGACAAGGTGGGGTTCGAACTCGGGACCTCTTGGTTTCAGACCGTAGACGCTACCTCTACGCCACACGACCCCACTGAATGGAACCGAGTACCCATTGGTTCCGGGACGAATGTCCTACCATTACGCCACAAGACGCCACAGAAATAGAATTTTAAGGCAAAGTGTACACTACAGAGTGTTGTATTACGAGCAATGTAAACCAAACATGATATTTTGCCATCATTTTTGGGGGTAGGTGACGCATAATAAACTTAGAACAGAGCTACCGTGCACCGAAGAGAATTAGTCACAACTGTTAACGTTACAGTTTTTTCTCCAGTACATGCAGTTTGAAAAATCCACAACTTGAAAACACGGACAATACATCTGACAACAAAATGACGCCAAATATCTGGCCGCTTTCGTGGATTTATGGGGAGGCGGCGTTAATTTTTCGGGGACGCGACGCGAGTCGCGGTGGGACGGTCTTGAAAAAAACAAACAGATCTTCTGAGCGCGATGCGAGAAGGGTAAGATTTTCCCACACTAGAGACAGAGTCTCTAATTATAGAGTCCTACCTATCTACCAATGACGGTGCCCGATGACACCATTAAAAACGTGCGTAAGCTGTTCAACCTGTTGTTTCAAAGGAAATGGGAGGGGCAGTGTCGTAGTTCACATTTCGGAGGGCTTGTTGGACATACCATATATTGAACCTGTCAAAAGACACATAGACTAACGGCCGGGAAAAATTGATAATTACTTGTGATCACTAAACGAAGACAAAAGACTGACAGAGATAGATCGTACACTACATATTGACATACCGCGGCGATTATATTGACTACAAAATGGCAAGTACACGTCATATTTTCCCAGGCAACGTGATACGTTTTACATCGTATCCGTATCTTTTCACATGACATATGGCTTTCTATCCTCACATGTTATAGTTAAAAGTATATAACAGCAGCAAAATAAGTTTATAATGGAACTCCAATCAATCGACGAAAATAGCCACAACTGTTGCAGTTTGAAAAATCTGCGTCAACTTGTATAAAATACAATGGTAGGTATCCAGGTGGGAAGATCAATAAAACGTTGCCACTTTGAATCTTCACTACAGAGTCTACAAAAATGCCAAATATTTGTTAGCCCCCTACTACGAGTACATGCACGCAGACTTGTGGGGCGGCGGCGTTAATTATCTTTCGGGGAGCGACGCGACTCTATGCCGCGGTGGGACGGTTTTGCCGCCGAAAAAGTTTGCCGGGAAAGAGTTTCACCGTTTTTTGGGGGGTGGTGAAAAATCTCTCCCTCGGCGGCAAAACTGTCCCACCGCGGCATAACTCGCGTCGCTCCCCGAAAAATAATTTACGCCGCCACCCCACGAATTAAGTCGTTCGCCAAAATTACAAAGAGTCAATAAGTACTCAACAGTACCTGTACCGGGACTCGAAATTCAAGATGATAAAGGATAAGAAAATCCAATCCAACTCACGCTTGAATCATCCACTACAGCCCGGATCTTCAGACGGTAGAAGCGCGTCTTGTCAAAACGGCTCTTCTGGTCGCAATGCGGGGAGGGCAAGTTTTTGTCAGACTAGATATAGCTTGTCTGATACAGCCACCAATGACAGTGCCCGATACCAACAACAAATCATTGTAGGTAAGCTAGCCGTTCAACCTGTCGTTTCAAAAGAAGGTGGAGGGGCCTGTGGGCTTGCTGTGTCGTGGTGATGTTTTGGGTCGTTGCCAGATTGGGTACTAGTATTGTCGCTTCTTGCACCTGCTGTCAAAAGATTCGAACGTCGTGGAAAATTAGGATTTCACATGGTAGAGCTTTTCGTCATTATAAAAGTACTTTGGTTAAACATATATGGATACACTGAAATTTAAACATGTGACGAATCAGAAATATGTGTGCGGCTGAGAAATCGCAGGCGTACTCTCCTCTCTCCCTCCTTATCTATCTCACCCACACAAGTTTGACAAAACTAACATGATCAACATCTCACACACATATACACACACAGACACACACACGCGCACGCACGCACGAACATACATACACACACACAGAGACACACAGACACGCACACACAGGCGCACGCGAGGGTATTACACAGAACATCAAGTGTAATTGTCGTGGGAACGACCAATTATCTCCCGAGAAAGCCTCAGGATATGTCACTTAAGTTTCGTCAATTAACTGAACACGAACAATCTAGCTGTGTAGAAGGAACGGGAGCAGTATCCGTGAGGTCACCTTTATGTAGTTTTTCTCAGCATGGCCAGTTTGCAACACATCGTACGAACACTACTCGTTTTACTCACTCACTCACTCACTCACTCACTCACTCACTCACTCACTCACTCACTCACTCACTCACTCACTCACTCACTATACTAACACACACACACACACACACACACACACTCATACTCACTAACTCATTCTTTAACTCACTCTATCCCTCACTCACTCATTCTCTCATTCACACTCACTCACTCACTCACTCACGCTCACTAACTCATTCTCTCACTCACCTTATCGCTCACTCACCTCACTCACTCACTCACTCACTCACTATACTAACACACACACACACACACACACACTCATACTCACTAACTCATTCTTTAACTCACTCTATCCCTCACTCACTCACTCTCTCATTCACACTCACTCACTCACTATACTAACACACGCTCACTCACTCACTCACTCACTTTATCGCTCACTCACTCACTCACTCACTCACTCACTCACTCACTATACTAACACACGCTCACTCACTCACTCATTCACTTTATCGCTCACTCACTTACTCTCTCACTCATTCACTCACGCTCACTCACTCACTCACTATACTAACACACGCTCACTCACTCACTCACTCATTCACGTTATCGCTCACTAACTCACTCTCTCACACGCTCACTCACTCACTCACTCACTCACTCACTCACTCACTCACTCACTCACTCACTCACTCACTCACTCACTCACTCACTCACTCACTCACTCACTCATTCTCCACTGGGCGCGGTGCGAGAAGGGCAAACCTTTCCCAGGCTGTAGATAGAGCGTCTCTACTTTTAGATGCCTATCTAGCGGTGACAACGCCCTACTACAGCAATAATTCATGTAGGTAACCCATTCAATCTGTCAAAAGAGGGCAGCGTCATTGTTCATTTTTGGGTTCGTTGCCCGTTGGTGCATTAATTGCCTCTTCTTTCACCTGTCACAAGATTCGAACGTCGTGGTACAATAGAACTTGATATGGTTGTTTTTTTTTCCTCAGAATGAATAAAGTCGTTTTAAGATTTGTCACTATTTAGAAATGAGCACCTGACATATAAATTACAGATATTTTTTTCTTATCAATGTTAGATCAGGTGGCTCTGACATAGAATACTAATGACTTGGGGACTTACGTTACACAGAGCAGGCATCCAGAAAATTTAATGAGAGAGTTTAATGAAGACAAACGTTTGAAAAAAAGGATCAACATCACGTACACATACAAACATATTCATGGACAGAAACACACAGTCTGTCATACAAACTAACACAGAAACCGTGACACACACATACACAAACACATACATACACACAAATCCACGCACAGGGAGCGGCACCCATATACGCACGCGCGCGCGCGCGCGCACACACACACACACACACACACACACACACACACACACACACACACACACACACACACACACACACACACACACACACACACACACTTCAAGTGCTCGCGTGAACTTACATGAGCCAAAACATCAAGTTTTATTGTCGTGAGAACAAAAATCTAGCCCCGGGAAAGTTTGGGTGTGTCACTCAGTCCGTCATTTGTTATGAACACTCTAGCTGTGTAGAAGTCCGCCTTGTGAAAACAGCTGTTCTTTGCGCGGTGCGAGAAGGGCAAACTCTTCCCAGGCTTGAGAGAGAGCGTCTTTGGTAATATATGATGCTCCCCAAGTACCTAACAATGGAAGCGCCCGAGTATAACGTGCGTAAGCCGTTGAACCTGTTGTTTTGGGGGGAGGGGCATGGCAGTCATCTGAGGTCAACTTTATGTGTTTTTTTTTAAGGACAATTTTCAATACATTGTAGGAACAGTACATGACATTGTAAATATCTAAATGAGCCATTGAAACTCAGCCAGACTCACTTCCCAGTAGGAGCTACAATCAACCAAAGAGCTCGAGAATACTAGTAGCCGAGGCTTCAGGACACGCAATTTACGGTAAAATTTACAGTGTACTTTTAATGGAAGGTATCGCAATAAAGGGCGAAAGGCGTGAACAAATACAATTCAACTCAAGGTAGGAGCTTGTATGATCAGTTGTATGATCAGTTATAACCAAGGAGGTTTAAAATCAAATTCTAAACCTCCTTGTTTAATACAACCAAGGAGGTTTGATGGTACAACTTTTAATTTGCAGTTTTCCATGTTTCCGCAAGATGGCCTCAGTAACACAACAACACCGACGATTTGCGGTTTTTCGTTTACGACAATCTTGACGAGTTGCGGCAGTTGTAAAGGTTGACCGTGTACCTGCAAATGTCCAGACTTTGGCGGCTTATAGTTCCTCTGGGGCACGTTGTCAGGAGTAACTTTGCAGGTAAATTTTTGCATCATGAAAACTGTCAAGTGAAGAACGTTTTGCACGTGTGATCCTTCCGGAACAACAAACATTTTGTTTATTTAGTGACAATCAGGTATCTGAAAGGGGGTGGGCACCATAATATAACGTTAGTATTAGCCTGAGGCTATTGACAGGATCGTCCTGTCAATAGCAGATATTGTATTTCTGCTATTGACAGGACGATCCTGTCAGCAGTGCAATATTTTCTGCTATTGACAGGACGATCCTGTCAATAGCCACAGGCTTAGTGCCATACTACTAGGAAGTTTTACATAGACTTTATAACTACAAGTTGAATTTGTAATGCCACAATTATTATTCCCTTTTTTGCGAAAGTGGCTCTGTTACCTTTATATGTGAAAGCTAGTTAGAAATAACAAACGTGTGTTGTAACTTATATTAGTAGGAAATTTAACAAACCAAATTAGGTTCAAAAGTTGCACTTAACATGCAATAGAGAATGCATGTGCATGCGTTTAGTGGTAATTTATGTTGCAAGTCTTAGGTGAAAGTTGTTCTCTTCCAGGTGTTCAGGCCAGGTGGTCCTCATCGTCTTCCTTCCACTCAGAGCCGGGGATCATTGCTCAGGCAGACATGAAGGTTTCCCTGCTGCCGGCCCTGCAGGATAACTACATGTACCTGCTGGTGGATGAAGCCACTAAAGAAGCTGCCATCGTGGACCCTGTGGAGCCTGACAAGGTGCAAGGGGGAGGGGGGCTGGCCTCGGTACCAGGCTTATAGAACTGGGGGTTTGGTGGTCTTTGGCTGTTTTCTGATTAGCCCAGTCCGTAGTAGGCTTATAGAACTGGTGGTTTGGTGGTCTTTGGCTGTTTTCCGATTAGCCCAGTCCGTAGTAGGCTTATAGAACTGGTGGTTTGGTGGTCTTCGGCTGTTTTCTGATCGGCCTGGTAACCATGGCTCCCACCGTTGAGTCCTTTCGGGCCAGGCTGGAGGCCTGCCCGCCTTAGACCAAGGCCTTCCCCCCCTAAAGTGCCCCAACAGGGGCTATATGGGGGTGTAGCCGGGGCTTGTACAACATCTTAGAGCCCCGGCAAAGATGAAGTCTGATTGTACATGTTGTTCCTCACCTGTTAACAGGTAGTCGCTGCAGTGAAGAATGCAGGTGTGAAGCTGACCACTGTGCTCACCACTCATCACCACTGGTGAGCACTCACCTTATCTCCAAGCAGATGGAGGGTTTCAGCATCTGATTTTTTAGTTGTTACACCAGTCCTGCAGCTATTAAGTATATCCTGGTGGAGATTTGCCTCTGTATACAGAGGTTTTGTTTTTTTGTTGTGTGTGATTGTGTGTTTGCTTGTGTTTCCTTTTTTTTATTACCCCAGTGTACAAAGGTTTTCTTTCCAGTCATGCTAGGCATGTCAGGGACACTTACAGGAAGTTAGGTTAATGCCATACATGTATACACGTCTGTTCCCTTTGGAAACCAGTGACAGAGACTCCGCAAGAATGGTGATACTCAGTAATTTACTAACATGTGATAACATTCAGGTGGTTAGTATATAGCTGTCATGTCTACACCTTTATATAATATTACTATCAGTAGCTCTGTCAGATATTTGAACTAACTGTCCTTACCCAGGGACCACTCTGGTGGGAATGAGAAGCTGGTTGAGATGGTGTCAGGGCTGACTGTATGCGGAGGGGACGACAGAATCGGTGCTCTCAACAAGAAGGTCGGACATGGGGACCAGTTCAAGGTCAGTATTGAAATTTCAAGGTCACTAGTTGAATGCCAAGGTCGGTAATCATTTGTCAAGGTCAGTAGTAAAATGCCAAGGTAATTAGACAAATGTCAAGGTCAGTAGACAAATGTCAAGGTCAGTAGACAAATGTCAAGGTCAGTAGTCAAATTTCAAGGTCACTAGTCAAATGTCAAGGTCACTAGTCAAATGCCAAGGTCAGTAGACAAATGTAAAGGTCAGTAGACAAATGTCAAGGTCAGTAGTCAAATGTCAAAGTCAGTAGTCAAATGTCAAGGTCACTAGTCGAATGCCAAGGTCACTAGTCAAATGTCAAGGTCAGTAGTCGAATGCCAAGGTCACTAGTCAAATGTCAAGGTCACTAGTCAAATGTCAAGATCAGTACTCAAATGCACATTCCTTGACCCTCCCCAGCTGGTTGGTGCCCTGAATGTGAAGTGCCTGTTCACACCTTGTCACACCTCAGGACACATCTGTTACTCCCTCAGGTTTTACACTGACTGGTGCATTACTTGACCCTCCCCAGGTTGGTGACCTGAATGTGAAGTGCCTGTTCACACCTTGTCACACATTACTTCCTCAGGTTTTACACTGACTGGTGCATTCCTTGACCCTCCCCAGGTTGGTGCCCTGAATGTGAAGTGCCTGTTCACACCCTGTCACACATCAGGACACATCTGTTACTACGTGACTGGCCAGGAAGGAGAGGACCCTGCTGTCTTCACTGGTAAGTCTCAGGACAAAAGATGAAATATGTCAAGAAAATCTAGATCTTCTACTTACAGATTATCTACTTGTTACTTCTTCATTCTTGCAACCCTCTTTTATATCTTCTTTTTTGATTGACATTATACCATAATTGATCAGTATATATCCCCTCTGTTAAGGAGTAAATTTACATCATATCAACAGTTATGTAGAAAGAAAAGTGCACTTAGAAATGCATAATTGTATACTTAATGCGAAACCAAATTATGCATCAGGTTGAATTACAATGTTACTCTAAAATATGGACAGTCAATATCTTTCGAATTCAAAATGACAAGTATACAATGTAATTGCTTCATGTTTGTTTTTTTAAAGTATCTTTCCTTTAATTGTTTCTTCCATCTATATTTTTCCTGTAGGTGACACGTTGTTTGTTGCGGGTTGTGGCAGGTTTTTTGAAGGCACTCCAGACAACATGTACAGAGCACTGGTGGAGATCCTAGGTATCCTGCCTCCCAACACAGTGAGTTTTTATTAATGTCTACTAATAATAGGCCATTTTCTTTATATGTTTGCAGGAAATAAAAGCAGCAGACATACATCTGGACTGTAGGAAAAAAAAAAGCACATCCTGAAACTGAAAGTGTTGCTCTATATTCCAAGCATGGTTATCCACAGTCAGCTTCCCAACTTTCACAGTTTCAGGTTCTACTGGAAGGTTTTAGTACAGGTGTTGGTCTACTGGTTGATTGAATTTGGTTCCATACATCCTTACACATAGATGTAAGGATAGATGTATCAGCTTAGAGAAAAAAAAGGAAATTGGAGTGAATACATGTGAATTGTTTTTTTTTTTTCTGTGACAGAAAGTTTACTGTGGCCATGAGTACACTGTGAATAACCTGAAGTATGCAGAGAAAGTGGAGCCAGACAGTCAGGCTGTGCAACAGAAACTGGCCTGGGCAAAGGTGCGAACAATTTCTCTTCTTCATTAGTCTGGTTCATTTGTCATTACCTCCATGTACAGGTTTTGTTATCGGTGCCCGTTTGTGTGTTTGAACATTTATTTATTGTGTCCATACTAGTTACTTGAACAAAGTGACAGGAAGAGAGTGGTGTAACTGCAGATCTGATTGACAGGTAATAGAGTTCACGGGTGAAAGATTTAGTCAACTAAATTTACTAAACATTCACTCAAAAACTTTTGAATTTTTTTCCAGAGTCAGCGAGACAAGCAGCTGCCCACTGTCCCATCCACCATTGGGGAGGAGCTCAAGTTTAACCCTTTCATGAGGGTCAAGTAAGTACTTAAACCTTTGAAGATAAAAAATAGTGGGCAGTAGCCTGGGTGCCATCCTCTGTAGTTTCAGCCGGCTCCCTAATGTCGCTGAGTCTTCAACCATGGGTTTTATTGTTTCTTCCCCTCAGAGAGTCTCCTGTCCAACAGCATGCTGGGACAACTGACCCCATCGCTACTATGGGATTCATCCGTACCGAAAAGGACAACTTTAAAGTAGGGGGGAGGTGAAAACTAGCATCTTCTATGTACAATGTAGGTACATCTACATGTACAGGACTGGGCTATACACTGTATGGGGCTAGGCTAATGTACCGTATGCATAATAGAGTGCAATGCCATAGGCAACTGGTTAAATTTTAATTAGCATTGGCACAGTCTGTTTATCATCTGTTTATAATACATGTAATTGTTTCTGATTTGGTAAAGTGATTGTGAATACAAGGCCACACCAATTCAATTAATTGGTTCTCATATTCACCTGCTTCATTTTTTATTTGCAAAAAAAAAGATTCAGGTTCTGACTCAACTTCAGCTGCTTGTCTTCCTACTTGTTACAGTTTTTTCATCTATCAATGCATTGGTTTGATAAAAAGTTCCAAATTCATGATTGAACCACACCAGCCTGGTATGTTGATGTCATGGCTCCTATTGTAGCTTTTGGAGCCTAGGTGTGTTTTTATTACCTATTTTTGCTCTGTTGCTTCATATTTTTTTCTGAAAAAAAAAAAACAAAAACAGAGAATCAAAAAATCAAATTGCTGTGGCCCAAATAAGAAATTATATTGATATATATACAACTACTCACAAAAAGGAAATAGTATTCCTTGACACTATTGTTAAAGTAGAGGAAGTGACATCTGTTGTCTCATATTGTTCACTTTTAGAGATGCTTGTATTCAGAATGAGTAAACAAAGTGATTTACTGTAAGAATGAATGTATTTAATAACACTCAAATTGGTAGAAATGCCTTTACTGTTCTTATCTTTGTTTGTGGCTGCTAAGAATATACAATAATGTAGAAATGGTTTAAGTCTTTCATTGTTCAAGTCACTACATTTTTCTTGAATCATGCAATTTAAAGGTTAAACAATATGAGAAATTTTAGCCTTGTCAAGACAATGTTATATTGATTAAACAGGAAATTGAGTGTCATTGAGGCACAGATATATGGTCATGACATTAACAGTAAAGTACACATTTATATGATGTCTTATCTCTGTTTACAAGTAACAACACTTTTAATCTGTTACTTTGCCTAACTTGTGATGTAATATCATTGTCATTGAAAAACAAATCCTGGTAGTTTCGTTGCAATGTTACGTGTCTTCCTCTGTTAGTTGGCTGGGCATGGTTAGGGAGAATTGATTGGTTGATACAATAGGTTCACACGACTGTCCCACACTGACAGAGTCCCCCGATGACTCCACGTCGATGTGTAAACTCTCCCCACTGTCCACGTCTTCCTTCTTGACCTTGACCTCCTCCCCTCCATGTGCAGAGGTGACAGTGGAAGTTGCGGAGGGGTTGGGGTTACTCGTGTACTCTCTCATCTCCCTTTCATAGCGCTCCTTGTCTTTCTCGTACATGTCATAGTATCTCTGCAAAGGAGAAAGAGATACAAACCTTGGTTTATTATTATAAATTTTCCCATTCAGCTACACCAATTTAATCAATTGGTTTCTGGATTCACCAGCTTCATTCTTTCTGATTTGCCAAGAGGAATACAGGTTCTGAATAAAAAAAATGCTCATATTTTGGCCCAAATAGTTGAAAAAAGCTCTTTGTCTTCTTAGTTGTTACACTTCTATCTATCAATTTAGACAAGTAGTTTGATAAAAAGTTTAAAATTCATTGTTTGAATTACAGTACATGTATAAACCAGCCTGGTATGTTAACTTAATGGTTCCTATCATAGCTATTGGGGCTATCATAGGATGCCTTGGCCTGTTTTGATTTATTTTTTGAAAAATCTGAGAAACCATCCACAGACTATGATTGAGATCTCTTTCAGTAGAATTGCATATCCCACCAGATCGAAGTCTCTCCTGACATAGTCATTAAGTTGTCAAGGTTTTTTCATTTACACTACAATACTGGATTATTTTCCATAACAGATAAATACAAACTAAAAAACAAGACATCCACCTTCTTGTCCTCAGAAGACAGGCTGTTCCAACTCTTAGCCAGCCGTTTGGTCAGTTCATGGTGCCCGATTTCCTCCTTGTGTTCCTTGTAGTAAGTTTCCTGCACCTGGGACCGCCGCTGCTGGCAGAACATGAAGAACGCGTTGGCCGGCTTCTTGGGGGCATTGGGGTCCTTCTCTTTCTCAGATTTGGTCTGTGTGGAACAAGAGACGATTGATTTGATACATTACTAGCACTGTCAGTCAATCAAACCATTCAAGGATATAATCTTGACTATAATTACTTCCTTAAGTTCAAAAAACTTAAATGAATGATTTGACCTAACATATAAATTGTTACAAACGTTATTTTGACTTCAGATATAAAGAAGCCCTTTCAATTTACTTATCAAAGCTACCGGTGGTATATGTAGTATGACCATGTAATATCATTTGGGATGATGAACTGTGTTGCAATTCCCACCTGACCTACAAGAGGGCGCTATCACTAATGCTCAACATACAAGGATGAAAAGAGGGTTATAGCATTGATGTCAGAACGTACTACGACTGCGCGAAACCCCTATTTTTCACATTTTTCATTGGATTTTCGGTCAACGTTGCATCAGAATTTTGTCTGTTGCAGGCAATATCTTTTCCAACATAACGTTTGGAAACTACAAACGGGATGTTAACCTTATATGCATAACATTCTGCCAAAGTGCCATGCGCAATACATTACAGGTTTCACACAGGTGCAGTACGTTCTGCCGGCGTGCTGGATAGGATACATGTACCTTCACCTGTTTGTGTTTCTTCTTGCCGGAGGCCTGTAGTGTGATTGTAGCAGACCCAGGGAAGGGCAGCAGGCCGGGCGCCATGCTGGGGGCCATGTGGGGACCCATGCTGCCTGGGTAGGACTGCAGATCTCCCATGGTGCCCTGCTGAAACAGCTGGTAGTTGGGAGGAGGCTGGTACTGGTATCCAACACTTACCTGCAATAGGAAGGATGTGCATATATTGGATATTTTAGCATCTGTGTCTTACTAGTATATGGCAAAACATATGCAGTGTACATGTACCTCAATAAGTATTACTAGAATTAAGACTCAACTGACTATTACACTACTGTAAAATATATCTGTTGCCTTGCAATGTAATGTCCCCTAGAAAAGAATGTACTCATTAATCTTACATTTGCACATTTTGTACATGTACTCTCATATCCCAAATAAAAATACTGTACATGTACCCCCAGAGTTAACGAACCTCCACACTACATGTATGCCCCCCCCCCCCCAAAAACGAAAATTGACAACATCTTAAATGCATTCTTTTTTCGGTAAAAAAGATGCAGCTAAGAAAATTTTATATCTGGGTATGGGTATGGACTAGGTACTAACATTAACAAGTGTCAAATTTTTCTAGTTGTAAAGAAATGCTCTTATAAACCCTTGACACTTGTCAAAAATAATGTTACCTCCTCGGGAAGTGACAGTAGTGCAGCTTTGTAGTCATCACCATGGTCGTCAAGCTTCTTTGTAAGAAACCTGAAAAGTATAGAACAAGCAAAATGTGCCGTGTAATGTCACAGAAGTGTTCAGAACATAATGCCTGATGGCACAACAAAAATGACACGCCCTGATGTCTTGCTAGAAAGTAAGTTAGGAAGGACAGATGTTGGCCTTTTCAATGAGAATAGTTCTTTAAACTGCATTTTCAAGAGAACCATGACTTTCTCTCTGAATAATATGCAGACCATTACTCTCTTAGAGTTTTCCTTGTTACTTGGAAGATCAAGGCCTTCTAGTCTTCTACGTATACATACCTTCTCTCTCTCTTCAGTCTCCGGATGATTCTCTTGACATGATGAAGTCTGTTTACCAGTCTTTCATTAGTCTGTAGGGAAATCAAGGGGACAAATAAGGATAGAACCTGCAAGTGCCGTGCACTGGTTTTGACTTGAGGCTAGTAATAATATACTAATATGTCCACAAAGCTTTATTAGTTTACAACTATATACAAAGTATTGGTATTAGTAAGCAAACGCAACTACCGCCCACTTTTCCAAGTACAACTCGCTGACTGCTCGCGCTCAATAATTTGCATGTTTTTGTTGATAACTACAATGTATATAAATTCAGGGTTTATGAAATTATATTATTGGTCACTGTCCCTTACAAAATCCCCAGGTCCTCCACACTATTGTACAAGTATGGCTTAAACCAATGGTGTTTTACAGAATGTCTTTGCTTATACATATCATCACATTTAGCCTAAGCTAGGAATAGAGGCCTTTATAAGATATATAGAAAGCCCTATGGTAAGCCAAATCGACAGGAACTGACCAACTGTACTTCTTCGCACTTCCTCTTCAGAACGCTGTGTCTCTGTTTGTACGGGTCCACGGCCGGCTGGTCTCCTGTACTGGAGTTTGCAGACGGCTGGACACCAGAAAACCCGTTCTGACCCGCATGCTGGCTGTTTTCGTGGTCATATTCGTGACCACTTTGGACATCGACTTCCAAATCTTCAACCGCCGCCATCTTGTGGGTCATCATTGGGTCAAAAGAGTATTCGACCAGTAACAGAGGTTCATCTCTATAATTAGACTTTTAAAAAATCCTGAAATTCGGTGAATGCTGCATGTTTTATAATGAACACTTATGAAAGACAAAAATATAGACTCTTTATTATATTTATATACTCAATGTTTAGGAATTTAATATCATATTTCCTATTTCTATAGCAACTTTTAAAACTTACTCCCCCTGAAAAGGCTAGAATATTCCAAAGCAAAATAATCCATTTTGATTGGCTAAATCTTGAGGATTGACCTCTAACCTCGTGACGTCAGGAGGAGTCTCCCCAAGTGCCAAGAGGACATCCGAAAAATTCCGAGCCCCTGAGTAGTTGTGCTTGCAAATCTGGCGGCGTAGCGGCCTTCTGGCCTTTATTCCGCTCAAAAATCCCCCGTAACGACAGAGAAACAACATGGCAAGAGTAGAGGAAGCCCACAGAATCACGGACCTTACTTATAAGGTAAGTTTTCCCCTGGGGGAAATTGACGAGTTCGGAGGGCTGTTTGAAAATGGCAAGGTGGTTAAAATAAAACCGCTGCGTCGACTTTGTTTTTCTTGACGATTTTTGGCATTCCAAACTTTATCATTCGTGAAATCTCCCCTTTTCGCCAACGTCGCTGTAATTAGAGTGTATGTCGGTGTTCTAGCTGTTGTGTTTTGTGATGTAAAACGGATTTTTACCCCCATAATCGTTGTGTTTTTCTCATCATTTCACAGGGTCTAGTGGAAAACTTTGCCCCCGCAGTTCGCAATCTGATCTCCATGGGCAAGGCCTACGAGAAGTCACTTGCAGGTATTTCCTCTCAATATTTCCTTCCAAACCACTTCCCATAGGAGTTTCAACGCGATGTTTCAACCTGATACCGGCTTCCGTCTTTTTCCAGATGTTGTAAACTCTTGTGAAATGTGTGTGCTTTGCGTGTTGAGCAGTCTCTTTGGTGAAGTGTTCTCCCTTTTGATTAAAAGTGGATTAAGGTTTCCGTCAAGTGCTGAGTACAGGGAGATCTTTTGGTGGATAAGAGCCTAAAGACCAGGTCTTTAAGTCCCCAATCTTGTTACCTTAAGGACAAACAGTGATTGACATGCTATTTTTAAGACAACGTTCGGTCATTCCTTTCCAGCTGTTTCGTCCACAGCAAGAGGCTATTTTGAGGCGTTGATGAAGTTGGGAGAGCAAGCCAATGCAACAAGAGGAGCCCCTGAACTTGGTGGGTGGTGTTCCTAATTTCCCCCGACATACCCCCACCCCCACAACACATACACATCATATCCTGCATTTAAAGGTTATCTAGTCCAAATCTTACTCCCACACAACAAATTTTTAAGATCACAAGGTCCTAATACTTGACATAGTCGCGGGTAGCCCAAAGTCGTGGCAACTTAACTGCTTGTTTAAATCACATCTGCTGGTATGTCTGGTTTAAGGGTGACAGGCCATTCCTAAATGGACCTTGAGAAGTGCCTATCGGTGAATAAAAAGCATGTCGTCACTCTGTCCTGTTTGATAGCCCAGGGCGGTGGTGGGTCTGGGAGTTGGTTGGGTTAGATCCCTGCGAGCACGTATAATGACGACACATCCTGGACAGTAAGGGTTAAATCATGTGTGAAATCACAGGTAGAGACGCAGCACTAAGTTAGCTTCAGACAGCGACTATTTTAGTTTTTACCCTAACGTTTAAGATACTAATATTAGTACTTACTTTTTACTACAGTTCTGAAACTTCTCACAAACTCCTGTCAATTGAAATAAAGACAAACATTAAACTTTAATGCTGATGCTATTATAAGTAAAGCACAGCTTGCCTTTGAGTGTGTATCGTACAGATTTACAAGTTTTGAAAAAGTACTACAACTACAAGGTCAAGTTGAAATGTGATGCAGATGCATGGTAGAACCCTAGGTTTGAAATAGCTCACATTTTGTACTTAGGTACACAGCAGAAATGCCAGAGGGGATCGTTCAAACAAAGCTGGCCTCAGATGCCTAAAATCCCGCCTGCAATGTACACTAGTGCTGTATAAACATGCAGGCCTGGGGGCCATTCCTTCACAGTAATCATACATCCTTACTCGTATCACAAAGCAAGAAACAATGCATTAAACACAGAGCCACAGATTACCTGTTTTGATTCGGTATCACTGTCAATGGTATATTCGTAAAGGGATCGGGAAGCTAAAAATAGTTCTTTTCCTTCCAGGTTTTACATTTAAGTCTTCATGAATTTTTAATGTGGATAATCCTGTGGTATTTGCTCCCCAACCACAAGGTATTACTGGGTATGGGATCAAATGTCAAGATGTTGATATATACAAAGTGTTCCCCTGTGAGGTACATGTACCAACTTTAAATTTTGGGTGTGTCCCTTTCATGAGTAAGACTAGTACTAGGCCACACCCTGTAACTTGCTTATCAATCTGTTATTCCACACTGACAGGATTAATTGATAGTTAAACATTCTATTAGTTACGTATCACGTCACACTCAGTTGAGTTATGTCTACCGGGTTTTAAAGGGCTTCCACTGGATAATTTGAAGCCTTTTGTTTGTTAACCTATGGCTTCCCCCTTTTTACAAAGAGTTGTATGCTCTATTTGCCTAGAGCATGTCACAAGATCCAGGGTACCGCTGTGGCCTAACACCAGGGACAGGAGATAGGGCCTCTAACACTAGTGACTAGATGTTTGTTTACAGTGTACATAATAACAGTGGCTTGTCAATTAGTAACCTGTTGGCTGTTGTGTATCAGTATTGTATGCATGCTGCAGTGTTATTAGAAATAACCACTTGCGTTTTACGGAGACAAGAAAAATTAAGAAAAGTACAATTTTGCAGATGGAAAAAATCAGGCTAGCTGTTCAATGGTGTAGGCATAATAACATTTAAAGGCTTTTGTGTTAACTACTGACTCTTTAATATACTTGTAATTGATGCATGTAAAATGTTTGCCAACATTGCAATTTTGTATATGCCATGGGTTTAGGTCTGGAGTTATAAAGTGTGTATTTGCAGAAAGTATTTCTGAATTGCAGAACAAAATGTTGACTTTCTGCAATATTGCTGAACACTGAAAAAAGTATTTCTACCACTCATACTATACATATGTATCTAACTACATTGTATTACTAACAATATTGATCATAATGTCCGTCTATAACTTGTGGAAAAAATTAATAACTAACTAGATTCGTTGATAGGTTAACAAAGGTCACCATGATCAAAGACTGCTACTGTTTGTATTTGCAGGTAGAAACGGAATCAATAATTTAGTCCTGGTAAAAAACACACCAGACATATTGATTTTGTTACATGTTATCAACTTTCTCTGGACAGATGATATTTTTTTTATACCCGGAATCATATTTGATTACTGTTGATTAAATAGAGAGGGAAAAAAATACAAACTGAACTCCTCTTGCCATTAGTTTAGAATACAGAAGATTCTATGTACAAAATTTGGCTGATCTGAAGAAGATTGAACTGTTATCTGAAACATCTGGCAGGCGAATCAGACGCTCATTTTACACCTGATGGGTCACAGAATCTGTTGCTAATGAATTAGGGGGTGTATCTAGGTCAGAGGTCGACAGGCTACTCAGTTTGCCTGCAGAGAAAATTTGTGTTTGGAGAGTGTGTGAATGTTATAATGTCATTCCGTATACACTGTCCAGAACACTAAACATCCATTTTATCAACCCTAACTTTTAATGATTATCTAAATCGGTACAATGAAAAATCAGACAGGTTCCATTTTGTGTCACTCAATCATGATTAGCAAAATTGAGAATTTACTGGTGATTTTATAAGCTTGACGACTCCCATCCTCAAAAAATTGTATTATTTTAAAACGGTTAAAACCTAACACCAATATTAAAGCAGAATTGTTTAATACACTATTGTTTCACAACTTATAAGTTATGCCTATGGTAATTTATACATGATTGTATCCACTAAAGCTGGATACACATGTTTGTTTGCAATGGTCAAGCTCAGCATCAAAATACACATCTACTCACTACTGACAGTCTAGTATACACTCAGAGAAAGGACCTAACCACTTAGAATTTCAAGTATTCTGATGTTGCCATAGTTGCTGTTGTGTTGACCAAGACTGTTTTGTTGAGGGAAGTCAGGGTGAGGGGGAGGTCAGTGTCAAGCACCACATGTGTCTGTGTGTCTCAGTAAAGCCACCATCTGGCTACAAAAAGTGCTGGGAACAATCTGTTCTGCAGTATTTCTATGATAGCTCAATCCTGTAAAAAGGTCCCTGGAGAAGTGTTCTAGCCAGTACTAGTACTAAGTGGTATTTCTGTCATTTGAGTCGGAAATTTGCCACTTCTGATGGATACAAATTTTTCTCAATCCGTCATCTTTGATGGACAAAAATTGGGCAATGTAAAAATGTAGTAAGAGATGCCATTAAACTAAGCTCAGTGTCAGCAAAATTTGACCCTCAAAATGCAGGAATATTGTTTCATCAGAGGGTCAAGATTTTGAAATTTCCATGGCTGGCTTACTACTACTAGAACACTGTCCCAACTTTCCAAAGTGCCAAAGTCCAAGCTTTTGAAAACACATTCATGTTTAACCTTTAGCACACTGAAAAAATGTATGGCTACAGATTCTCTATTGGTTAATTGGGATTAGGTAGCTACTTCTTAATTAAGTTTCTTTACCTGTATTAGTACACTACAGGTACATTTGTACATTGTCTGTCTCTCAGTGCTGTTTATCAGGTGGTTGAAAGTTGAAATTATTAAATTGTATTATGAATATGACATGTAAAATCATCCAGTGACCCTCAAAGTTTCAGAATGCTCTCTAAAGGTACATGTATGTTATTGTTATTAACGTACAATTTCCTTGTGTGACTGTTCAACGTGGTATGGTGAGAATTAATAAGGAAATTGCATCAGAGTCAAATTCCATGTTTATTCCAGCTGGAAATTGCCAAAAACTGGTGTCCAGTCATTCCTCTGACATGTATTTCCTGAAGGTATTTGCATGTAATTGGGTAGATGCCAGCGAATTTGCACTTTGAATGATTGAAACTAGATTTGCTACTTGGGCAAAATTATACATAGAGCCCTGTGAGATCCATTGAATATTTGAAACATCTAAACATTGCTTGGAAACCCATGATAAGTGAGGCTACGCATTTAACTTACATAATACTGTATACAGCTACAGTAAAGGAAAATTCAAGACAAATTACAAGTTGAAGTACAATTGCTGACTTGTTACATATAGACCAACTACTTCGTACGCGTGCTACAGGACTGGTACAATTTTGACATAAGAATTGCACTGGTTACTGTAATGTAATCTTGATAGCTGGAAACATTGATATCTCATCTGATACACTTGTCATCACTTGTAATTAGGGACATGGGAAAATGATACAGGGTTCAGTTGTAGAATCTAAGTACTGTCAGAGGCCAGTTGAGACTTTGCCAGACTGACATTTGTATTTTAGATTCATACCTTTTTTTATAGTGTCACAGACTCATGTATTCTACACTTCTAGATCAGTGCCAAGAATATTTTGTGCTGTTGGTGCATTCTGTTTTGGTTACGTTTGTTGTAGATACCATTAAGGTGTGACTGAACTTGTTTGAGCATGAAAATCATGTCTTAGATCAGGGTTTTAGATCTACAGTGTAGATTCTAAGCTTGAACTTACTGTGAAGACTAAACACCCTCCAAAACTATGTAATTTTGTATTTAGTCAGTATCAATGAATACTTAATTTCACTAACAGGAAGTAATCAATGGATACATGAAATGTTATTTAAAACATTACTTGCATAATTAATGAACCACAATTAAATAAAACATATGAAAATTTCATCAATATTGTGAGTTCTTGCATTTGAAATTGTGCTCTTGTGGTGCAGTACAGCACAAATTGAACTGTGTGATGACAAATTTTGTACTGTGGTATTTTGAGCCCTGTTAACTATGCCTGTGGCCCTACTGTCCTGTGTGTTTTGTGTGGGAAGCAGTCTGGCGTAACTGGGTGCAGCTTTGTAGGCTAAACACCCATGGTCAGCCGACTGACATCCAGACCATGCCAAGAATGTGCCCAGCTCTTGTGTCAACTTCACCCCCCAAAAAAGTGTTCTTCTCTCAGTTCTTTCCTCAGAATTATTACAATAACTCTGCTGCAAAATGCAGAATTTCTTATAAGAGTTAAATTCTACCAATTGAAGGCTAGCATGTGTTCTGTTGAACATGAAAAATTGTCCTCGCTGTAGGCAAATAGTGAAGTGTGTTTGGCAGACCACATGCTATATTGTGACAAGACCAGTTAAAGCACTTGGTGGTACAGACTGTTGACAGATCCTGTCTAACTCAGCCATGATGTTAGCTACACGTACAAGTATTGGTCGTGGGAATGGATTATGAAAGTATATGAAACAAAAGACAACACAACTTGTCTCTATTAGACTTAATGTTAGCTGTCAAAAAGGCCAATCGAATGTCAATCTTAGCAGGGGGGCTAGGGGCATGACAACACATAAAAGAGTGAAAATTTGCATAATTAAATTACCAGTACAGGTACAGGTACATGTACATGTATGCCAATCTCATAACATTTAGATGAGGTCGTCCTCATTCAGTTGCTAAGATGGCAGCAAGATTTTGCTTTGGTGTTTCTGATCCGTGTAACTAGACAAAGGTCATAAAAAGGCAGAACTACATACATGTTATGGTAACAGACAGGTAAAAGGGGAGGGACAGTGCCAACAACAGAGCCATGTTTGATAAACACTGACCAGGATCCTTTGAACTTTGAAGTGCTCAACTGAAAATAGTCCGAGAAGGGGCCACTTGCAATCATCAATCGTTTAAACTAAAGCTGTATGCTAGTGCTAGTATTAGTATAGTAGCTGTTGAAGTCACTAATAAAATCAGAACATCATTAGTTATTTTCTTATGCTTAGTTTGTATACTGTGTGCGTGTTACACAAGTTACAGAGAGAATTGTACAATGTATTGTAAAATGTACATTTGTATCCTCGGATTGAGCCCTACATAAAATATATTCACTTGTGTGCAAGACATATATATAATAGGTATTGCTGTTACATACAGTACTAGATAGGACAGTAGCTACTAATAGCATGGGCACAATTGCTGTAATCTGTATTTTTGTGTAAAGTTTTTCCATTTACAAGTTATAACTTTCAGAAACCTTACAAATTTGTCTGCACGTAATATTTTGAGCCATGCATGCAACTTGTACATTAATTTTCGGAAGCCGGGTTGAAAATTTCGGACCCCAGGTTGAAAAGTTGCTGTTCCAGTAAAACAAGTGTCTGCTGTGCTATTATCAGCTGTCTGGGGTCACCTTGGAAAAAAACTGACAGCTTCTATTCATCACTCTATTGGACAAGGTCAGAGGTCAGGACAGGTCACATGTGAGGTCATCAGTAGTCTTACTGTAAATGCAGAAACTTATTGTGGTGGTTTCATTTTCACATTTGTTGCTGAGACCTCTGTATTTATGTGTTTTATAAATACTATGCTACTTATTGTTACCTACTAGTATTTGCCATACAATGTACCCTGTACAATTGTCGTGCAATAAAGTTCTTCTTCTGTGTTTTATAGTGATTATAGGTGACTGCAAGTAAGTACTACAAATGTAGTACTGTAGACACAAACTTCAAATACTGTGAAATAGGTAGTTTCCTTTGGGAAACTACACATCTGGAAGGGCTGTTTTAGTATTTATCCTAGTTAATCACCTAATCTGTGCCCATTACAAGAGATTAGTGACAGACTATTATCTATTGTGTGTGGAGTCATTAGGTGTTCCAGGTACACAAAGGGAGATCAGTTAACAATAGCCCATTGTTGTGCCTTTTAACACTATAATACTTAAAATTGTCATGCAAACGTGATAATTACTCTGGTTTATAGAGTGTACATATAGAATACAACACGGGGTATTCCGTATCGCCCGAGGTATCGGCCCGACCGCGGGTCGGATCGCCCGCAGGCCGGAGGGCGATCCGACTCGCGGGAGGGCCGGGACCGAGGGCGATGCGGAATACACCGTGTTGTATTTTATTTATGTCATACCCACCCAAGAAAACACGCCTTTCAATGCAAGATGAGCCAAAAGTTGTAGCCACTAAACCCTAAAATGCAACAACATCAATTCCAACGTCCGGATTCTGTATTCAAATTTTCGAAAGGGACACACGCGGTTAGGGCGAAACGCGTTCGAATCGTTTTATGGGAGCCATGGAAGCGTTCGATAACGTGTTCCGGACCAGGCCGTACCGTAAAGTACGGCCCGGTCCGGAACCCGTTATCGAACGTTATCGCGGCCCGGGTATGATTAAATAGTATATACTAGCTTGTGTTTGTTATAGACTCTTTATGGTCAATTTTAACGCATCAAAAATGCAGGGACTTTTGTATGGTCATCATTTGGATTGCCAGATTGTATATTTTAACCTGCTAAAATCTATCAGCAAAATGGCTACAGTCAGTTTTTGACTGTTGGTGATAGTTTGGTTTGTGGTAAATTATTGTTAATTTATTATTATGCACATTTTTTTTGTCCTGGAGTCGAAATAAATATATAAACTCATAACACATGATACATGAACTTTGGAATGTACAATTTTCGATCAAAAACATAGACCTTATACAAATCAATAGAGTATAATCCAAGGGGAAAAACATGTTGTTTTTTTCATTGTTTGTAGACACCTGCAGGCTAGGTGTATCATAGTTTTTTTTTACAGATTCAGTTTGGCAGAACTCATGCCGAGTACATGTAGATTAAAATATAAAATGATAACAATCTAATCTACATTAATCTCCAAGCAGATGTTGGGTGGACCCTGCTTTTGCTGACTCAGAGCTCTCAGCTCTCAGTAAAAATCGGATGTAGCTCATTTAAAGCAAATGTGAATTTTTAGTCTCAGCCTCTGCTTGGAGATGAGGGCAGTGGTCCAACTCCAAGTCTTTCCTGTGGGGGGCGGCACTTAACATGAATCAGTCTTGAAGAAGATGTTTTTCAACATTCCTAACTGTCTATGACCTTTCCCTAAGTACATCCACATGTTAGGGTCACCAGTGCCAGTCTCTGGTGTACACATCTTGTATTAGTACAATGTACATGCACAAAGCACATGTAGTACTAGTATATATTGTAAAACAGGGGATCCGGAGAGTGTAGCATATACAAAAATTCAAGTACTGAAAGAAAAACTATACATTGAGCTTAAGAAAGTTATTCAGAAATATGTATTATTTCATTTTATGTATAATAATATTACAAATACAATCTGATGTTTGTGTATGAAGTTGACTTTGTCCCTTGAAAATCATTAATAAAATATGATATGGTTCTGATTGTAAAACCATGATATTGCTGAATCATGTACATTATTAAACCCATAAAGCTTATACTGTATTATTGTAAGAGGATAAAGGTTAAGGCCTTTAGTAGCTTATGTACATTTACTTTAAAATTATCAAAACATCTAGCTCAGAAAAATAAAGGTTATGATTAAAATGATTAAAAGCATAAAAATTTGGTTTCCTTTTTGTGGAACATTTCTAATATGAAATTTGTTTTTGTTTTGTTTTATTTTTGACCCAGGAGGATGCCTGATCCAGATAGCGGAGATTTTCCGTAACATCCAGATGCAGCATGAGGAGACGGTCCAGTCCTTCCACAAGGAGCTTATTGTGCCGCTGGAACAGAAGGTGGAACAGGACAGCAGGAGTCTGCCGGTAAGAAATTACGCCAAATATTCAATTTTAGGCTTTATAATCGTTTTATTCCTGGCTAATTCTGCATGTTTTTTTTCCTTTAACTCATATAGTTATAACTTATAGAAAATTTTAAAAAGAGTTTCTTATAACAGTTTCAGAATTTTTTTCTCACAGCAGTTTTAGAAAAAAAGATTTTCTTAAAACAGTTTTAGAAATTTTTTCTTACAAGTTTAAGAAAAAAATATTTTCTTACAATAGTGTTAGAAAGAAATTGTCTTACATTTTTAGAAAATTTTCTTAACAAGTTTTAGAAATCTTTTTCTTACAAGTTTTATAAAATTTGATTTGTTGTGATGTCAATCCAACGATGTTTGTTATGTTTTGTTGTAGTGCACAATAACAAAGTCATTCTCATTACATGTCTGTCATCCAATATCGTTTCAATTATTTCGTGAACCGTTGTTGGCATTGATTATTTTTTCCCCTCTGTGTAAGAATATGTCACTAAGGCTCGTTTTAGGGACTTGGTGACATATTCCCTCTTTACAAGTCATGTGTGCCTCTCTTTGTCCCTATGTCTTATGTGTTTAAGAAGTGGTTAAGAACCCCCAAGGTAAGAGGCATTAAGGTACTTACTCCACTTTGTTCCTTACTTTCATCAATTTATCCATTATTCTATCCATCCATCCATTCATCCATCCATCCTTGAATTCATCTGACCACCCATCTACCTAACTCTTATTTGCTCCATTTTCAAATTAGATTAACACAATTTGAGTTTCATTTTTCCAGAACCTTTCCAGAAAGTCTAAATGTATGTCAGGCTGCTTAAATTAACCTATATGTTTCAAGGAGTTCCCCAGCTATTGTCATACTCAATGTTTTTACCACTTTCAGGACTAGGGTTAGAATACTTGGCATAAATGTGTTCTCTCTGTCAAATATAACTAAAAAGAGATGATTAAAAAAAGGTGTACAGTGAGTGTATAAAAATGCTTAGAACTCTTTTGTAGCTTAATGTTAATCACAGCTTTTAGATGTCATCAGTATATTAACATGTTTTTAGAGGTCACGAGACGGTATTTATGATGAATTGGGTGCTGACCTGGAATTAACGTGTGCTCTTGTTGAGCTGCTCTCCAAGCATATCCATCTCCAGCTTATCCATGCTCTATAAAACACCATCCTCCCAAAATAGGCATGAGTATGGGATCACAGCTACGCTCTAAAAAGAAGCTTCAGATGCAGATTTGTGAAAAGATGCTTTTTGATCTTAATGTATTGATTCTGCACATTAATAGTATGATACTTGAGAATGTTTAGAATTTGACATGCAAAGTTGAAATGGGGCCGGGGAATTTTGATGTTGGATTTTACATTTTTCTGTTCTCTAAAGTATGAGTATTTGCTCTTTGTAAATTGTAGCTTGTAAGTTTTTAATTTTTTTACATGTCATATTTTTCTCATTTTCAGATCCTGCATAAAACTTACACCCAAGAATACAGAGCAAAATCAGAGGTATTTTCTTCTCATTTTATAACACGTAATACTAATAGTTTAGATATTTCTTTTTCTTTGGATAATGTTGCATGTGTGTATTGTAGTACACAATCCTATGTAAGAGGTGGTCTTGGTGAAAATCACAGTGTTTGACGTATGATTATTGGCTGACAGTACTGCAGGGTGGAGTTTGACAACTGAAGTAAACATTCCGTGACTCAGTGTTGGAACAGGGCAGGACTCTATCATAACACACTGTTTTCTGAAGGGCGTGTATTAGTTTAAGGCTTTGGCTTGGCCCCAGGTCCCCTTCTCCTGTTGGGACAAACCAACTCCTTCACTGGCATTGGGGGTGAAACTTTGAGAGAAAAAATAGCCATGGAAAACATATATTATGTAGACATGTATATCAGTACCACTATTAAGATTGTCAACTAATACACAAAAGTTTGAAATATGAATTTTACTTTGAGTTAGAAATTTAGGCTGTCGCCACACAAACGGTTGACCTATACTAGGAAAAATTCCATGGCAGACCATGGTTAGAGCAAACATTCCGAGACCTTAAGTCAACTATGCGTGATATGTGTGACTTAAGTCTCACTCTTATCAACAGTCCATTCTTTATCATGTCGTCTATTTCTGGACCATCACACATATTATGTATGTCAGGGCTCCAAATGGCTTTTTCCTGCATGCCTGCACTCAGTCTGGTTTAAACTTTGAAAATTATGTGCACCAGACAAATTTTACTAAAAACAATTATATAAACTGCTTAGTAGAAACCATTGTTATTTTTTATTTAATAAACAAAAATCAACATACAGCTACATGTATATAAAAAGTAAACTAAATACATGTACATGGCCCAGTGTATGCACAGCTTTAAATTTAAATGCCTAAGTGGCATATTTCTAGCCCTCACAACTTGTGGAGACAGTACATGGTGTCACCTGAAGGATGAACTGAACTGAACTATATCATGTATATACAGAACTTTCTTGCTTCTACTACTTCTAGTCAATGTTTATAATACATATTTTAGAGTTACAAAACCACAGGGTGTACATTCATTTTGTAATTTTTCTATTGAAGTCTATCTACAGGCTACACTCCCTAGAGATATGCATTAAATTTAACATGCCACAAGGTTTTGAAAACAGTCACCATCATGCAAAATGTCTCAGATTTGTCAGAAATGTGATAAAATTGCGATAGCTTTGTGGAACATTCAAGTCACGTATCTGTTGCGCATTCCATTGGAATTTAAGGGCATGATCAAAATACATGTACTCTTTGTACAAACATAGAATAAGTTTCAAATTGATATTTTACATAGATAACTAATAACTGTAATGATAAATCATTTTAATTTCAAAAAAATTCTTCAAATGCCCCCCTTCAAGTGCCATATAGTGTCTTAGATACTGGTAGGAATCAATGAATGAATGTAACAGTAACCAGGTTGATTTTCACAACGCCCCCCCTCCCCATCTTTCTGCAGACCTTTGAGAAAGCCAAGAGTGATCTGAAGAAGCACAGGAAGAAAAGTAACAGGAAGGATCCTCACAAGTACGAAGCCAAGGAGTCACAGGTTAGAGATTGTGTACTTTATTTCATTTAGTAAGTTTCAATTCAAGGACTTTCACAATTGTGGTAACAACAGTAACTGTTATAGAATCAATTATATATACTCAAAATGAGACATTTTTATACATCGATGCCAGTCAAAACAAAGTATCCATTCATCTACCAATTCTCCATCAGTTACAAACTACCATGTGATGTATAAGGTACCTTGTTTCTTGCTGCAGGGTATCAAAAGGTTTTTATGTGCGTCAGACATACCGGTGCCTGTAACATATCTATAACAAGTAAAGTATGCCTGTAAAGTGTAGAAAAAAGTTAAATAAATGAACATATTTGTTATTACAGTTGATCAGAGCAGCCACAGAGACACAGAGTAAGCTGGATGACTGCAGAGCACACGGACTGACTAAAGTATGTTAATTTTAGACCTTTGCATCCTGGATAATGTTTTACCTTTTGAAAAGTATTGTTAGGGACTGAGAAACATCCTGCATTTGCTTGCAAATTTCAAACCTTTGAATTCATAATAACCTAATTTCTTTTTGACACCCTAGGCCCTGGTAGAAGAGAGGAAACGTTACTGCTTTGTTGTCGACCGCCACTGCGCAATTGTGAAACACTACATGGTATACCACAGTAAGGTATGTACATGTACATTAAAACTAACAGTGTGATCGTATACAACATATAAGAATTGTAGTTAGCAATGTACGCTATTGTTGTTTCTTCCTTTGTGCCCTGTAAGTGTACTCCTTGCTTTTGACTCCTTCCTTGATTTCGTCTTTAACTTTTCTTGCAGTCTTGTTTCCTTCTTACTTCTGCTGTTTCTCTTGTCTGTTGTTACCTCTTTCTCTCTCTACATGTTTCTTACAAGTTCTTCTTACTCAATTCTCAAGTAGGCATTGACTGTTCTCAGGTTGAAGGTTTGTTGCTTTCCTGTTTTGTTTTTCTTTGAATGTCAGTGTTTTGATCATTTTTTTTGTAGTACTGTGACTGTTGAATGTCCTAGACTGAATCTGTGTGACTGTGTAATTTTCTGTGAAACAGCTCTCTAGCATGATTCTTGTGTAAACTTTTAAAAACCTGTTTTAACTTTTATTCAGACTCAGAACCTTTTTAAAAAAGCACATCCTGCGATAAAGCTCTCTAGCTTAATTGTTGTTGTGTAAAATTTTAAAACCTGTTTTAACTTTTTCTACAGGCTCAGAACCTCTTGAGGCAGAAGCTGGACAGTTGGGTGGAGGCATGTGACAACCCCAACATCCTCACCAAACGGGCCCAGGACCTGTTAGACAGAGCCCTGCAGGTGTGGCCTTACTGTTTTTCAACATTTTCTACTATATAGATACATGTACAAGATTAGAGACTGAGGTACCTTGAAGGCACCCAATACATTTTCGGAGTACCAAAACAGAAAATATTCTGGATGAGGAAATTTACTTTTCATTTCCACGTCATTTCATCCTTGAAGCATTTTGAAATAGTTTCTTACATATTATGTAAGTTCATAATTCATCCATACATTCAAACAACAGGAAATGTATAAATCATAATCCCAATGGAGTGGGGTACATGTAAATACGCTAGTCATCCCTATTCTACCTTACAAAATATGGTGAGTTTGAGTCCTGACATGCCACCGATCTTGTGCCTTTGGGAAAGGCAATTTACACGACTTTTCTCACTTTGCTCAGGTGATGAGTATTGTACTGAGTATTGTGCTGTGCCTGTGTTGGTGGCAGAATTAATATAAGTTAAAAAAATTTGAGTGTGCCGTCACCACGTCTTGTGATTACATGTTGGAATATATTAAAAAAAGGTGTTTCTATGTGAATGTTCTGACTGCCCCTCCCCGTGCCCCCCTCCCCACCCCAGGGCCCATCGGCAGACATGATGACGATGACACGCCGCGGCAGTCAGGGGATGCTGGACAGCGACTTCGCCGACATGAACGGTGGGCGGGGAGACCCGTACCTGCGGGATGACCGGTACCGCGGGGAAGGCTACAGCAGGGATGGCTTTGCTACCATGCCGGAGAGACGCCAGGGCAGTCCGCTACGCCGGCCTATCAGCCCTGTCTCACAACATGCACCACTTCAGGTACTATGTGATACTGATTGTCACCCTTTTATAGCAAAATATAACTCTTAGGGCTTTATGCAAAGTTATTTCTTAATAATTGAAGCTCAAATTTGAAAGCATATTGTGATATTAATAAGCACAAGACAGCAAGAAATATTCAAAGAATTTTGATCTCATTGATCTCATCTGCTTGTCTGAATAGAATTATGTAATCACTTAAATTAAACTGGTTTTTCAGAAAATTTACTGAAGATATAGATACAGAAGATATACTTGAAGGGTTGTTTGTCTTTGACATGACGTGATCATTTGTTTCAGCAGTGCCACCTAGTGGCAAGTGTGTGAACTGCACTCCAACAGTACAATATAGTGCCAGTGTGTTGTGAAATGAACCAGTCCTCTGAGTCAGTTCAAATTTAATTTAACAGGATGGGGACTTTAAATGTTATAATTTTTTCTCTCTTGTGTTTCAATGTGTGTTTAAGTGATTGCTAGAATGTGAGTTGCCTAGTGTCAGTACTAACAATGACTTTCCTTTGCTAGCAAGCCATGGTTAAGTGAGTATCAATGAAAAGTAAGTACATAACCATATCTGAAAGCGTGATACCACTCAGAAACCTACAAATGTAATGCACTTCCAAAAAAAAAAGCATCGGACCTGATGCATATACTGAAAACTTTTTGTGGCATGAGCTTTTTTTTGCTGGCACATCTGTACTACGAATTGTCAGTGACACTGACTTTACTTTTCCTGCACCTGCCGCCACCGTGAACATATAGTTCAGTGCACACCTCCATGTTTCTCAGACCTCGAATTTTTGCTAACGTGAACATAAAGTGATGAGTACAGTATTGCTGCCTGGCTATCTTTAGCATTCTAGTTAGAAAAGAACAATGTGTGTAATTTGGTAATACTTAGATTAATGACATGCTAACACCCGTCCAATAGGAGTTGTTCCGAGATGCCCCTCCTCCTGTACCGGCCCAGCACGATGTTTCCATATATGGCACAATGCGACGACCTGCCCCTCAAGGTCGACCCACCCCACAAGGTCGTCCTGCCCCACAAGGTCGACCTATGACCCCACAGGGTCGAACCATGTCTTCCAGTTCGTGGGTGGGACCGAAGGCAAGTTGTGAGAACGGATCGGTGACATCCCGCCAACCATTCTTTGCATGCCGGCGGGAACTTAAAAGGATTATTCTTCATTCTTTTCATTTCTAAGTTTTCTTCTCTTCCTCTGCAGGTATTTTTTTATCCTATTGCTGATGAGAATGAGGTGTAATTTATTTTGAGGAAATAGTTCAAGCTGGTGGTTTGGTCATGATTTCTTCTCTGACTTGTCATTGCTTTCTGCTGTAGGTTTCTGTTGCTGGTGTTTCGAGGTGTTTTAAACTTTTTTTCTTTCTTTTCCCTTGAGTCTTTCCTTCTTTTATAGGATGAAATTGGTGTTTGGTGAAGTTATAGGTTATACGATAAGTAGTTTTGTAGTAAGTTTTCATGTGTCCAACATTTACAAATGTAGCTGGACTATTACCAAGCACCCAGACAACAACAGCAAACGACCATATATGGTACCATGCGGGGGCCTCCCCGTAGGCCCTCGACCTTCCAGGCAAGTGATTGGTTTAGATGAAGGTCGTTTGGGGAGAAGGTCGTTGGGTTGTCACGGTGGAACAACAATATGGTGGACAAGTGACTGCTGATATGCATGCTTGAAAATTGGGTGTGGCAGAAGTGATTAAGTGGTGTATTTTAATTATTATAAGTAGAGGTGTGGGGAGGGGGCACATTTTGTACCTACATGTAGAATACAGTCATGTACCTACATGTATAACTAATATAAGCTACTGTCAAAACTAGCAATGCTCACATACATATGACATTCTGCATTAAATTTTCTTTCTTTGGCATTCACACACCAACTTTTTTTCCAGATGCTGCCTTGTGTTTGCTTGTTTTTTATACCGATCTTTTCAATCATTCCATTCTTTTTGAGTTCTGTCTTCAAAGGTAACCACATCTAGGTGGTGGTTGGTTTCTGATTTCAATCCTTGGTAGAAGAGTCACATACATGTATGCATAACCTTTTGCTTTCTTCTAGGACCATTTGCTTTCTTGGCTACAATACTCCTCAATGTTGGAAAATATAGTCTGTTATTGGGAACGCATGTCTCATTGTCACTTCATTGTACATCAATGTGTCCTACTAGGATGACCGCTACCATTCGCCGCCGCCGAACGCCATGTCCGTACGTGAGCCACGGCGAGACTTCCATGAGCCCCTGATGGTGGACACGTACTCCAACACGTTGCCCAACCCCCGCCGCGGGCAGAACCAACGCCAGCCGCGCCCGTCCCAGTCGGCGTCCGTGTTTGACCCGCCGCAGCAGCAGGCCGGGCAGATGACGCGCTCGGTGTCAGCTGTCCCAGCAAGCAGGTGGGTCTGTCCAAAGTTTGACCTTAATTTTTAGTAAGGCCACATGAATGATATCCCCTAAAGACTCCCAAACTCGCGCAAGCAAAAGTTCAGCCAAAAAATGCTGCTAAATCACAGAAATACAAAGCTGGTATTGTGAATTTGCGGTTGAACATGACTATTTTTACAACAAGACGGCACACGGCATGAGTCTACACCGTACTGACTTCTAGAGTTCTGTGGAGCCTCGGGTGCCATCCTCCATAGTCAATGCTGGCTCCCTATTGTCGGTAAGGCACAAATTACCGTAACATGTACATATTGATGACTTTGCTATATTGCTGACACAGACCTTGTTTTTTTCCTGTAGGAGGAAAGTGCGTGCCTTATTCCCACACAAGGCTGGTGACAGCAGCAACCAGCTGTCTTTCAATGAGGTAATCTTTCCTCCTGTTAAACATGTATTACATGACACCAGATTCTATCTAAGACTTGTACTTTAATTTTATGTAATACTATCTGTTATTTTACTTGGTGACTTGTGTGTTTCAGGGAGACACCATTTCTTTGCTGATAGACCACCCAAGAGATGGCTGGCACTTTGGAGAGAATGACAAGACTAAAAGGTATTACAGGCATTCAATCATCCAACAAAAACAGGTGAAAAATCAGGATTTCATGCTGCAGTTTTGCAAGGGTAGTCATGTCATGTTATCTACATGTAAGGGACCACCAAAAAGTGGTCACATTGGCCAGGTAGCCCTAATATGTAGAGGTTGTCACCTGCACAGGTTTGACAATCAGTACTGTATGTTTTGTTCATGTACTACATGTCCTTTTCCCTCAGGAGAGGATGGTTCCCATACTCCTACACCCAGCCTGCTGGCAGTGATGGACCTCCACCTGTGCAGTGAGTAGTCTTGAACTGTTAGCTGAAGGTTTAAAGAGTTAAGCAGTGGAGTGATGCTCACTGAGCCTCTGAGGCTAATCAGTCTGTGTGCCAAAAACACACTACGGATTTTGTCCGCCAATGTGTCAACATCTATCGAGAGCCGTTGAAAAATTTATTTGCAATTAGCCTTTGGGCAGGAATTTGTAATAAACTTATTTTCTGCTATCCAACCAGGGCAGCCCAGCCCATGCCGGCCCTGCTTCAGACATAGTTGTACAATGTAGACAATGTTTCAGACAATATTATTTTTCATGACATTGTGTAGTTAGATTTTGTAGTTATTTTATACTCTGTTTCAATGTTCTCACTTTGCAATTAGCCTTTAGGCAGGACTTTGCAATAAACTGTATTTATTTTTTTTATTTTTTTATATTTTTTTAAATAGTTTCATCAGGTAATATTGGTATAGAATACAGAAGTTTTTTTACACGACCAAGATATTTACCTTGCTGACGTTTCAGGGTCTATCAGACAAATATCAGCAAGGTAAATAGCATCCTGGTTGTCTGAAAGGAAAACTCCTGTATCCTAAGCTGTAAAAATCTTGCTTCAAAAAAAAGACTTGTACCTGGTGCAAGCACGTCTAACGTCTAAAAATGATGTTGAATTCGGTTTTTAAAAAAAATCTTAAACTGTATCATTTTTTACCCCCCAGGGCAGCCCAGCCCATGCCTGCCCCCCTGCGCCCCAGTGTCAGTATGGGGAACCTCCTGAACAACTCTGCGTACCGCGAGCCTGCGCGTCTCCCCTCGCCGGACTACCAGGACACGCCGGGCGTCGCGCTGTCGCCGCTGCGCCGCGAGGCCAGGCCACGCAGCGTCGCGGGAGACTCGCTTCTCACGGTAGCCGAACAGGTAGTCACAGGGAGGTCATGGGTCAGAGGTCGAAGGGAAACAGACCACAGAAACACGGTTGCAATGTCCTCATTTTGTCTGGCTGATTCAGTCTCTATTTTCATCTAACAACTCCCTCCTCCATGTACCCCTGTGACCCTGTGTTTACAGTCATGTGTACAGTGTATATGTATTACATGTATTCACATTGTCCCTATTATATCCATTGTACTGTGAGTTGTGTATTCCTTTGTTGTACATGTAGTAACATGTATTAAGTTTCCCTAGTTTTTACTAATACCTTGTACATTGTTACATTGCAACTATTTCCTTTTTCACATCATTGTTTTTTTGTTGTTGAATATTTTTGTATCAATGTTATCGTATATTTCTGAATTATACAATCTACACTGAAAATTATGTGCGCAGATTTTACCTGCACCACTCAGAATTTAGTAAGTATGGATCATTCTAGAACTGTTCAGAAACCATTTACATTATTTCTTGATATACTTCAGAGGTTGTAACAATCAATGCAGCAAATAAAAATCCACATACACCTAAATGTAATACACGGACCAGTACAAGTGTACTACGTAAATATCAGATATATCTGCGCAGATCCAGTTTTACCTGCTCTAAGGTGCATACATGTATGTGCTCATTATTTCCAGCCCTGTACATGTACAATGCATATCTCACTAGTGCTAACAAAAGTCATACTGTTTCCTCCTAGAGCGATGATTTCAGACATCCCAACGGAGATTACCAGCAGCCGCAGGGCGTTGACCCCTACCGCCAGCCGCCGCCCCGCTCGGACTACCAGCAACCGCAGCCCGGCGACTACCGCCAGCCCCCGGCGCGCTCCGACTACCAACAGCCAATCAGACAGCCCCCTCCGCCGCAGGAGTACCGCGATCGGAGCGATGGGTACAGGGAACCAGCAGATGCAAGGTGAGATAGGATGCAAAGTAATACTGTAAAGTTTCCTGAAGTTTAGGGATCACAGTGTGAACAGTGTTGGAGTTAGGATTTAATTGCCAGAACATGGTATTTTGTCATATATATGGTCATTTCTACTAGTACTAGTTATAAGAATGTTTTGCCATTGGTTATTTCAGCAGGAGGGAGGGGGTTGCTCATCAAATCTTTGTACTAAATGTATCTGTCAACAGATATAGCCACCCTTAATGGCATAAGACAAGCAGCTACATCATGTACATGTACATTGTAGTATTATGTCCTAACGATCTGCTTCTATCTTTCATATGAAACAATCATTTCAAAGCATCTTGAATCATTTTCCTAACACTAAAATAGAGTTTTGCGAAATAATTTGCAATCTTTGGTTTGACGTGAAGGAAAAATTGACCCCTCTCTTTCCTACAAAAGGTACATTCCTCGCCAGTCGGAGTCAAGCTACCGACAGAGCGTGTCGTCGGAGTACAGCCAGCCTGCGGACCACCGGGCGCGAGGGGTCAGCTACGGCGGGGAGCCGGACTACCGCTCAGGTCAGGCCGAGTATGCACAGCCGGTCAATGGCAGCAGTAGTGTGTCAAATGACCGGCAGAACGGGTTCAGGGAAGGGGGGCACCCCCCTCCCTCCACCCTGCCTGCCCCCCAGGAGGACAACCCCGCGAGGTGCGTGTGTGACGTGTCAAACCTCTCGGTGTAGCCCAAGTAGCCCTCTACCCTCTGCTCTCCTCTGCCAGTGTACTGGCCCTGGACACAACAGTACTCTAGTAGGACCTAAGAATCAAAATGTTGTGTTTTCTGACTGACGCTAGAAAAAGACTGCTGATCCTAGTCTATTTTTAGTGGACCCCTGCAAGGGATATAAATTTTTCAAGCTGATCAACATTTTCTAGCTCCATGATCTTACACCTGAGTGCTAAAATGTAGTACAATCAGTTTTCCGACATTGAAAATATAAGAGTCTTAATGCAAGTTCTACTTTGTTAAACTGTAACAAAAATTGGATTACTGGAGATTGGCAAAGTCTAATACAAAAAGAAAGGAAAAAAGATCATAAATCCCTACCTACCGACTCTAATTTGTTTTCAGGACTGAAACAGGAAACACAACATTTTTCTCCTTGGCCTAGTCACCTGTGTTGTTACCTACATGTAGGTCATGGTTGGAAGTTCCCCACTGGCAGCTGCAGGCTCACAATATAAATTTCGCAGGTGGCACGTGTGCATGCATTGTTTTGGCCCGTTGATATATATAATTTTCTTCAAGAACCCTTATCATCAAACTGCTTTTAAATCTTGTTTTGTGTTGACCTCAAATAATTGGAAGAAAGAAGGACAGGAAGAGTAGTGCTTGCACCTTGTTTTCAAGTTGCTGCAAGTAAGCATTTTTGTCACTGTTTTTTTTTTAAAGCAGAATAAGAAATATTAAATATATCTGATCCTTATAATTGTCATGAAACTAAATTTAATATGTGTATCAACCCAGCATCTTTCCAATACATAATGCCAAGAATATAATAGAAATCATAATGTATTGAAGTATACTACAGTGGCCAGTGGGACCATACATGTAGAACAATACAGAAGTACACGTACACAGTCTGAGTCTGTTGTGTCATACTCCGGGTTACTTGGGCCTGTACAGACCTGTTTGGTAGTCTCTCAACCCTTCTGGGTGTACTTTTTTCATCTTTCTCTTCAGTTCAAGCCATGTTTTGCCCTCATATATCCCTGTTTTTGTGCCACACATTCCAACAAAATTATCCAAACCGTATTTATGTGTCAAAAGATGACAAAACTACCCCAGATTACCTCATTCCCCTCTCCTGAATGAAATGAAGTACCCCCCATTCCCTCCGAATTGACCAAATTATTATCCATCTGACAATGTGAACGATGGAAAATTTTTGAAGGATAGCATCCAAACGTACAGAACCTCCTCTGTTCTCCTGGGACAACGTGATTCTATTGAGCGCAAGTTTGTGTCTGTCTGTCAAGTTTTTGGCAACGCCTCAGGGCTGGTGCCATAATCATCATGCATGTCATCATTAATTGTTGATACTGTCCTGCCAAACATCATTCGTAAAATTTGTCTCATCTAATTTTGCTCTTCCCTCCCAAACCTACCTTCAAATCATTACACCAACACAATTTCCCTGCTAAGAAGCACTTTTAAAATACATTTTGTATTTTCTTCCTAACAAATTGGATGCCTGACAGCATTGTCCTAATCACACTGCAAGTTTTTCCCACTTAGTTAATTGTGTTCTCCTAACTTCTTCCCTTTCTGCTTCCCATAGTCTAATCTCTGTGTTAAGTGCCGTGGTGGCTTTGCACTTCGTATTTTAATGCTTATAATTAGATTAATTAAAATTATAATAAAATGTTTTAATGTACTGTCTATGTTGTAATTGATTAACTTTTTGATAGACTCTCTGGCAATAATCAATAATATTGTATCCATAAATGTTTCATTGTTACTAACATGTATGTTACATTGTATATTCAAGAGCATTAACATCACTTAACTGATTCATTATATTTTGGATTTAAGCCATTTTTGTCTTCATCCATTGGGAATAGTTAATATTTATGGATGTAAAAGAAAAAAATGTTTGCAAATCATTTAATGCATTGAATCTTCAAATATGTAAGTCACAATGATTCCTGAATTATGAAAAAGTGATGGTTGTAGAATATTTTTTTGAGTTTGAGAATATAATGCTTGTGTGTGTCCTTACAATTCCATGATGTTGTCCTCCTTTCTAGGAACCCATTTGCAAATGTGAAGTTGAAAAAGACAGTTACAAACGACAGATCTGCACCCATAATCTGAGAGTGAGAGATGGAGAGAGAAACAAGCAGAATGAGTGATGGAGTGAGATACAATAGAAGAAAGGGATGGAGAGAGACAGCCTAAGGGGGAAAGCAACTTCTGATTATCAGAGATTGGTGTAGTTATGCTGATGGTACACAGTTTTAGATATTAGTTCATATCAGTCCTTGCGTTTAAAGAAGTAATGAATATCCATGACAATGCCAATGGTATAAAGGTGTTGATGATATTCATAATATCTGTAAAATTGTATAATAATTATTAGTCAGACTTTGTTAATCCTTTGCAGGGACTGGTAGCCATAAACAGTGTTTATTCAGGACAATTTTGGTTTCTTCATTCATACACAGATATTTCTTTATGCAAACTTATAGGTTAACAAGATTTATGATTTATGTCAATATGATTTTTGTTTAATTCATATTTGAGAAGTTTGACACTTTAACATGTAGGTAATCTGAATGGATCAATGTTTTGGGCCCTGCCATTTAAAAAATAGGGATGAGAAAACCAAAGCAACAAAATGCACCCAATAAGTTTGAAACCGTTCCAAAGGAAATACTTTGTGTAAAAATTTGTTTGCTGTTGGAAGATTACCTACTTTGCACTATTGCACAGTATGCTATGATTTTGGCCCTCTCTTGTCTGATTTACAGTGGATATGACCTTGTGCCGCCTTATGTTAAGGCTTGTGTTGGTAAAAAGTATCGGATTTACTGGAAAAGTAAAATGAAGGTGGAAGGTCAAAGTTTGAAGGTGGCGTCATGCGGTGGATTTCTGGTACCTGACCCAAAGTCTTTTACTTGTCTTGGTGAGTACAAAACTGGAGTAGAGATAAAAAGAAACTTTGCCACAACATGTGAAAGACTTGAATAGCTTTTATGTATCATTATAGTAATTTACATATCATTTAATCTGCCATTTTACCAGGTGCCATTTGCAATATTATGTATGTTTAATAGAGGTTGAAAACATTATACTGTCAAAGATGAACCAACGTATACCTCCCATCCAATGTGACTGTTAACATGGAGGGTAATGAAACAACAAAGTAACTTTAGTGCCTTGTACATTTCAAAAGATGTACTGTTATTTTTTCGCAAATATCATAGTTGTTTATATATATCTAATTATTTTGTATGGTAGACCAGCAGATATGATTAATATGCCGCTGCTCTCTCACCAAATTAACATATTTGAAGGGTTTTGCCAAAGTTGCTTCTATTTTTTTCTAGCCTTATTCCCGACTTTAGCTGCATTCAAAAACCACTTTCCGGAAATGATCCATATGCACATTAACAATAACTAACTCGATTATCTTAGAGCCATTGCTGGTCTATGGCTAAACTCATGCAGTCTTTTTCTTTCCTTAATGAGTAGATTGTACTAATTGTTGTTAGATGTACTGAAAATTTAGGCTTTCTGTTTGCACATTGACTGTATTTTCACAGCTACATGTACTCATTTTTGGCAACGCATCTGGGGTGGAGCCAAATGATTCCATGTCGAAATTGTAGTAGAGACTTGATGTGGCTCATGGACATACTATTTTTTTCTAGTTATTTATGATTGATTATTTACTCATGATTTGAGTATAATTATTTCCAAAGAGGTCAATACCTAGATGCCCTTAATGATAACAGTATTATCGTTCGGTTTTTGTAATTGTTAATAACCTGTTCTGTTCTCAAAGGGCAAAGCCATTTTTGATCACTCTCTGAGTAAAAACGCTGGTATTCACACTAATTATATTTGGATATACCATTGTATATTAATTATTCGGTTGTTTATCAATTAAATTATGGTGCCAGAAAATTGAAGTTGTCATGACTGTTCTCAACGTGTATTTTTGTATATAGTCATAATTCACCTGGACAGAGTTCTGGCGAACCCCTGTCTCGTATCAGCCACATGGTGATTTACATGGTAACTCACCCGGACGGAGGCCTGGCGAACCCCATCTTGTATCAGCTGACAAAAGGGTGTATCACTCCAATAGGGGCGGTTTAACCATGGCCAATGTCGTCGACTGCATGATGAAAGTTAACTTAAAATGCTGGTATTTTGACACTAACAGTTATACGAATGTTACTCAACACATAAATGTACGACCGGAGCAAATGGGGGGGTGGGTAGTTAGCATACTTGTAAATGGTAACAGAACTAATGTCGTAACATTCGAATTATGATCTACCAATGTTGAGTTTGTAATACTTGTTTGTGCCCACTGGCTAATAGAGCCCACCCTTCATCCACAGTCCATATCATGGCCAGACACATGTGCCACGTACTGTGACAGGTGAGTGATCTAACGTTATGGCGTCCAGGTGTTTAGCTAGAGGCAAAATGATAACCATCCTTCGACGCCGCTATCACTCAGACCATCTTGTCGATTGCACTGCCTTAGTTCATATCATCATCGATTTGTGACCTTAATATGTCATTTTAGAGATATGGATGAATATCATGTATATATGTAGGCCAAACAATGTCAAAAATCCAATGCCGGATAATTTTCGTTGGTAGCATTACCTTGTGCAATGGTGATGTATTGTGATCTAGGTCAAAGTTCAAGATGCTTAGCTTATAAATTTCTAATTGTAAATACGTTGCCTTACTGGGAACGAGACTCGTTTTCGGTGACCTTCATAAGTCCTTGGATTTTCAAGATTGTTCATCCTTTCTGGTTTTGTTTTTCACTTTCTAAGTACGGTGAACTGACAGGAAGTTAGAAAAAGTTCGCAGAATATATCATAAAAAGGTTATAGAATATCTTAAAATGTGTTCCTTTGAGTTTCTCTTTGATGTAAAGGATCTAGATGCTTACCATTGATTAAGTTTCAGCTTTTATTCGATATAATATCGCTTCTTTTCTATCGCCTACAGGTCAAGGGATGGGTGAGATGCAAAAAGTGATCTGTGTCATATAAGCCTAGGCTTTGGTATAGAAATATATAAATGGTGATACGTATCAGATTCGTCTTTCAGAGATAAGAAAACGTCCTCACTGAATCATCGGTATGAAATGTGCTTTAAAATTGAATAAGTCGCTCTTTCACCTTTGAAAAGTTCTACATTTCCAAAAAATACATTTGTGACCATTTTAGTTGAAATTGCACCGTATCTCACAGCTGAGCTGTTTTGAATGTTAAAAGTATATCTTGATACCGACGAAATCCTGGTCCATACGTTGTCCATACGTTCTGAGACGCTACACTATTCAAGAAACGCATTGGAAAATTTACTAGTCCTGTTCCCATTTGTCGCAAGTTCCATTGAGGCGAAGTAAAGGGCTTTTGAAAAGTTTTAAGGTACCGTTATATCTTGAATACTGCAGTGGCTAGTAGTAATAGACATGGTGGTCCATTGTACTTTGGACATGGGCTCAGTCGAGATCCAACTTTCCACGTAGATCTTACTGATATATAATTTACTACAGTCTGACTTTTAGGATTTAGTTTTTTTTTGTGGTTTATAGGAACCGACTAGGCATTAACTATTTATCAAATACTTCGACTGCTTTTATATATCACTCGGCTTCCTATGACGAAGGCATTGTTTTGGCTAGCTTGTACAATTATAGCGTTTTTTTTTTTTCAAGAAATACGTTACAAAATATACAACAATGGACTCAAATATACAACACTTCACCATATTTATTGTCATCAACAATCACACCAAAAATACTACTGGGAAAAAATATACATTTCTCAAGTTCACAATATTCACGACTGGTGTGCCATAAACATCAAGTACAGTACGTAGAAGAAAACACCGCGCCAATGAATTCCAAGGACAAACCTCACACAGTTACAACATTCCACGGTGACCTTCACCGTCAATATAGTATCCACAGGATCGTATATAGGTGTTTGTATTCACGTGACTATGACGTAATTACATACTGTCCGCCATGTTGGATGTTTAACCTGGAAGTTGCCGGGTTCATTCGAATTTGCATATGTCGACAGTATCACAATTATGCTGTCATACACATGCAAATTCCAAGGTCTGACTTTTCCTGGTTTAACCAGCCAACATGACGTCACGTGAAAACACCATACAGGTTATGTAATTTCATATCAATAAATTGCTAGATGCAAGGAAGGCTTTAAAATCTGATGTGTGATAAAGAGAAAGATTACCCAAAATATGTTATGGCAAATGGCAATTTGTGAATATTGACGTCTTATATACAGAGCAAATACCAAGATCACAAATAGCTTTTGGCAAATGCAAAACACTTCACTACAAACACAGTAAAAGCAAAAACATCCTAAAGTTGAAGAGAGATATGAATGAATATTAGTATGGCAAGACAAAAGTACTTAGATTGTGATCATTTTTCGGTAATGTCGTTGGAATCATTGAAACTTTACAGACTGATAGATATCTACATCAGCCATTAGATAGACTTGGTGTGTTGTCAGATGATAAATTACATTGTTACTACAGTACAAAGCCAGCATACTACTAAGTATGCACGTCAGCTTCACCAGCCATCTTGCCGTTCCCAGTGCACGTGAACAGACCTGATGCATTGTCGGTCAGAGTTCAACATATCTTCTGACCACAATGCATCACGATTGCACATGCGCACCGGGAACTTTGAGACGGCTTGTAGACCACACGGCTTCAAACAAACTTGCTTGACGTTACAACTACTGTATTATCACATCGTCACACGACACGCTTCAAACAAGTCTCTTGTACTCCAGACTTAAGTACGAGACTTGACGTCAACTTGTACATTTCTGGGATAAATGCTAATAAACTTAAAGAGTAAGGATGAATACACTTAATAAAAAATCACTGATTGAAATATACAAATTTATGACATTTTTTTTCAATTTCTTTACATGCTAAAATGTTTCTAAAATATTGGCGCCTAGAATTCCATCTACGACCCTATGACAACGACAAATGATGACCTTGAACTTAAGATTTGTTTCAAAGCAAATAATGTCGTTAAGTATTGTAGTAGTTAAGTGTTCTGGTGGTCCTACATTGATTATGCAAAAAATGCTTCAATGTGCATGAGTTGCAACTACATTCATGTCCACCAATTTAGATAGAAATGTATGAAATCTTCACTATTCGTCACGAATGAATCACATAATTTCGTTGCTTGGCACAAGTTGCACAGGTATTGCTTAATGCTTCTCCAAGGTACCAACAAAAATACATGAAAATCAGTGATCCATTATAAGGTACTGGGTTGCTCTGTTTACAAACTTACACAGTACAAACCTGAGGCTGCAATTCCATAGGAAGTCGCTAGAGAACCCCAAATTGTCCTAGATCTGCTTGAGATAAAGCCAGAAAAGTCGATGACGACAGAAAAGATGGCATACGAACAACTGAAGTTAGAAGGAAACCCGCTAGGTGCTATAATTCTACCAAGATACTAAATTCATTACAAACCAAACTTCTTGAAACGAAAACACAATCTCTGTGTCGAAAATAAAAGCTATGTTTGTGTTAGATGGATTCGGGTCGAATGAATATTTCTTTATATATTAATTTCTAAGGACTATATCGGATTTCCTACTCATTAAAGAAAGAATGTAGTTTTTAAAAGGAAAATTATTAATTGAAAACTCCATCAAAATCAACAATACATATGGCATTGCTGAATATGGATCCGTCGGCTCAACTAGTGACGGTAATACTAGCATCTCTACATTTGTACGTCTAAAAATGTCTAAGGATAAAACATCAAAATATCTTTGAGACGAAAGATTCTCAATCCAAAAATCGAACAAAGCAAGTTATAAAATGTTTGAATGCAAGATGATATATGTCAGCAAAAAAAAATCTAGGTGATCTTGATGACTGGAACTTTGAAATTTTTTTAGTCCCCCCCCCCCCTTCTGGTCCTTCTGGTCATGGAGTAATTAAACATTCTCTCAAAACTGTTACAATTAGAATAATGTTGATTGTCTCTTTAAGATATATATCCAGTTTGTTGTACTCATTTTACAGTCTAGGTCGGTTAAATTCGCTAAGAATACGTATGGAATCGCTAAGTATATATATATCATAGGCACCCATGTTTAACGTCTTCAAAAAGGCTCTAACTTCTGTGTAATTCAAGTGATGACTTAATAAATAAAGAAAACATCCAAGGGCTTTGTGGGTATTGCTTTAAGTATATTAATTAGAATAAAAAGGGCACTTATATGCACTTGTCACTCATGTGGTAAATACCCTTAATAAAGGCTTGCGACAACATTGTATCTTGCGTCCTAAACGCAACAACCATCATTAGTCTTTCACACATGTCCAAGACGTCATAGCAGTCGGGTGTACTCGTAGTTAGTCTAGTACACTCGTAGGAAGTCGGGTGAACACGTAGGCAGTCGGGTGCACTCTTAGGCAGTCGTGGGAACTCGTAGTCAGTCGGGTGCACTCTGGATCCAGTTTGGTCCGAGCAACGTTGTAATTGCTCGACTAGACTGCAGTCGTTGCAACGTTTTCGGTCGACTTGTGAAGATCCGTGGCTTTGCCAGGCTTCTTCGGTGGAGGGGTCTCCACTACCTCTCCGTTCTCTTCCTTCTCGGGCAGACTGCTGGGAGTGGGCGGGCGGAGGAAGGCGCGGAGGCCGGGCGGGGTGCCGTGCTGCATGCCGTGCTGCAGGAGGATGGTCTGCTCCCTCCCCAGGATGTACCGAGCCAGCCGAGGACTGGGCGAGGGGGAGTTCCGCGGTGATCGGGTCAGCTCGTAATTCGTCAGGCCTGTCGTCAATGTCCGGTGGGGCGTAGTGACGCCGTCTATCCGACCTTCCAGTCGGGGGGACCGGGAGGGTTCCGGGCGCAGCTCCAGATCGACAGGCGGCGCTCCTAGCGGCGTGCTGCCCACCGGGGAGCAGGTGGCCTCTCTGATGCATCGCTTGATGTTCTCGTCGAGGTAGCCGTACAGCAGAGGGTTGCAGCAGCTGTTGACGTACATCAGCGCGCTCACCAGGTGGAAAATCCCGCTCTCCACGTTGACATCGTCGATGTACTCGAACAGGCCGGCCAGGCTTCCAATCTGGAACACATGGAACGGCAGCCAGCACACGACAAAGACGAAGACCACGGTGTAAACGAGGCGCTCGATCCGCCGGTAAGCTCGCTCTTTCTCGCGAGAGTGGGTCTTGTTGCTGAGACTTCTCAGTCGGCGTGTCAGGAGAAGGTAGCTGGCGACGATGATGGAGAGAGGCACGACAAAGCCGCACACGAACGTGAAGGTAGTGAAGGCGTGGGACCCTATGGTCTTGTCAGGCCAGTGCATATTACAGCTGACACCGTCGGGCAGCTTCTTCCCTTCATTTGTCGTAGCGAATATGGCGACAGGTAGCGTCATGACCAAAGCAACTGCCCAGACGCTGATGTTGACGTACCGGGCCATGCTTGGCGTCCGGTAACCCACGGACTTGACCGGATGCACCACTGCAAGGTAGCGGTCAAAGCTCATGACCACCAGGCAGAAGATGCTGGTGAACTGGTTCAAGGCGTCCACGGATAGCACCACCTTACAGACCACCAGTCCGAACGGCCAGTTGTGGAGGGCGTAGTAGGCAGCCAGGAACGGTAACGTCATCAGGAACAGGTCGTCAGCGCAAGCCATGTTCATGATGTACATGTACGTCACAGTCTTCAGTTTGGCGTACCGGAGGACTACGTAGATGACTAAAGTGTTCCCCGTCAGCCCTATCGCCGATACCACGCAGTAGAAGACCGGAATGATGATGGATTCCAGATAACCCGATGGAAAGAGCTCGTCAGTGGTTGTAAAGTTGTCGTTCGTCTGGTTCCACGACATGTTCAGGCCGGCCCAGGAGGGTGTCGGTGTCGCCATCGTTTTTTTATGTCAAAGTCGTGGTACCTGGAGACAAAAGAAAATACGTACAATGTATAAGTTTGATTTCTGTTAAGCACATATCGCTTAGTCCTGTGTATGGTTTGATATATGACACAATCAAAGAAATTGGGAGTGTTAGACAGACATCCATTGAAAGCAATCACACATTCTCTGTTCACTCAAATCAGCTTTTACAGCTCCCTTAGACATAAGGTAAAATCTTAAACACAAAAATTGGCCTTCTTTTGACAAGATGGCAATCTACCGGGACCCATCAACCCACTTTGACCCGGGACGGTGGCAGATACCGACTTCCTGGAACCTTTGACCCACATGTGACGTCACACATCCCAACGACCAATGCGCTTCGGGAAATGGAGTCAACGTCCTGATGAAGGCCAATCAATGCACACGGTAAAATCTCTGAGTCATTCCCTTGTGTTGGACAGGAGGTTAACACTTTAAACAACCTTACATTTCCATGAAGCACCAGTACGCCTACGCTTTGACAGTGATCCACAAATATCGATTCTCAAGTTCAGACAGTTGCCAAGTTGGCGAACAGTAGCACTTAAGAGGCTTCCTCAACTTACGATGATGAACGCTGTTAGAGTTTTCCTTATCGTTATTTTCATACGCATGGCCAATAAGGTCAATGAGGTTACAATGAGGGGGGATGGAAAGGTCGCTGATCGAAGTCAGTTACGCAACTGCTATCAACGCACCCAATTTACGAATACGAATTCTAGTTAACTTTTCAGCATTGTTCTTTTTTCGCAGAGCTTATAATAAGTGGGGTGAAATTGCAACCGAGTCAGTTATGTAACGGCTGTCAACGTCTGTCATTTTAAATCTAGTCTTATACTTTGTTTGCAGCTTAAACAGTTTTACAGTTAAGCGGCGTAAAACGACAATGACAGGTTTGATCCACTCCCTACTGTTATTGATCAGTGTTTTTTTTTTTTTTTTTTTTTAACGTGCTCGGGGTGTGGCTCTCCTCAAACACTGGGTCTACACTTTACATCTCATCCGAGAGGATATCCCTTACCAAACATGAGACGGGTAAATTGATGTTAAGTGTCTCTCCAATCACACAGCATTGGGATCTGCAAAGAATTCTAACCCAGAACCTTAAGCTTTAGATCCTAAGTCAAACAACCCTAACCAAAAGACGCTTATATGTACTCTTGGAATTCTTTTCACTAATAAGCATTCCTGCCAAAACGCCAAGTAACTTTACGCTAAATTGAGTCAGTGAAAATGTCTGTGCCGATATCGATGCTGACATAGACCCTAATCTTGGATCGATAAAACCAACCTGTGCGGCTAAGGAAACCTCCATGGAACCGTTCAGAAAATCTCTCGTTAGTTCTGGAGTTCAGACACCAGCTTTAGCATGGTATTGTGAAGATTTTGTCATTTCATATTTTGGAATAGGAACGATAAAAAAGTCAATGTTTGTGGCACGTTCGTTACATACATAACAACTCGGATCTACATGTATCTTACAATGCTGCATTCGCAGAATACAAATGAACTGCAGCGACTTTGAGCCGTATGAACGTGTTTAAAATACGAACAATTTCCAGCTGCGGTTAGAATATTAAACGAGAAATCAGATTGTTGTTTAGGTCTGAAGTATTGAACTAGTTCAACACATGATGTACTTTCGCCGTACGTAAATATACAATTGAAAAAAGGCACATGATAGAATGACAATACATGTTAAAGAAGTTTATAAAATGCAAAGATTAAAGAATCCAAACTTTATAGAAAGCTAGGCATCATATAACGATTTGACATATGCCGATAGCGTTTTCAAATTTAAAGTATTTATCGACTTTTTTTAGTGGGGGCATTGGATCCATTGGTGTTATCAGTTCCAGACGGCTCTTCCCAATTCTAAAGGCTATCTTTGGACAACTTTCCACAAAATCTCAGATAACTTGAAACATCTTCATGTCATATCCTTCACGGCGTCATTTCTTAAGAGGATTTAAGGACGTGGTCTACATTTGGGACGCGTTTTATTGAACCCTTCTTCACAAAAAGGCGCTGCGGTATCATCCTCCGTAGTAGTAGTCTTCATGATGCCTTTATCTTGAAGTTTCTTCCCTTTTCCGTGCGGCTTATGCTGTTCAGTAAATCCCGCCGTGGGTAGTAATCCTGTCATATAGCCTGACGGTCCGAGATAATGTTCTTTAAACTGTTCAACGTCGTCTTTAGAGGGATACCGCATACATCACCCACTTTCAGCCGGGATTTCGTCTTCTGCTTTTGGGACGCGCGGTCGGTATTACCCGCACCGCATAACGGATGGACAGATTTGCCTGAAAGCGCCGATAGAAAGCGGAACAATACTGCGATAGAAAGTTTTGCGACTTTACGAAAGTAGGCACGATTTGTTAGTACTTTACGTCGTCGTGTAATGTACGTGCCTGGACTATCAGGACTCATATACGCCACTCTACACCTCCCAGTTGATGTTCTTAAGAGCACTTCTTACTTTTATCTCTCCTAGAAGTTTGTGTCCTAATCGTCTTGTGATTGACACCTGGGGCAAGAACGACACTTTTTGACGTCGTCTTGATGTGCTTTTAAGACGACTGGATGCCTCGGTGTCTTTTTCAAATGACTTGATGTGTTTTAATGCATTTCTAAGCCGTCTCTTTACGGTGACGCACAGAGGGATGGGGACTAATTACAGTGGTCACAAGAGACGAGAACAAGTTGGAGGGTACTGTAGATTAGAATACTGTTCGGTGTATAGTATTTAGCTTAGTAAGACATGATTGACGTGTTGCAATTGCCACAAAACTATTCATGGTAAAACCAGAGGAGGTAGAAAGCATATTCCGCAATACCTCTTCTGTGGTAAAACGGTTAGAAGGTCCCGGCTGACGATATTACTCATCTCTGCATTACCAAGTTTCTAACACTGTATTGTTTTATTTTATGGGTTATGCTGTTAATATGTAGTGCTATGTTGGAACGTGCTGTGCTGTCTGAGCTGTGCTTATGTGCTGTTGCGCTGTGTTATGCTGTTATACAGTACTATGCTGTGTTATGTTATGTAGTGCTATCATGTATAATAATGTTGGAGCGTGCTGTGTTGTCTGATCTGTGATTTGCTTCGCTGTTCCCCGGTGCTGTGCACTATTATGCTGTGTTGTGTTGTGTTGTGTTGTGTTGTAGTATGTTCTGCTGTATTCTGTTCCATGCTATCATGAAAATGATGGCAGGTTTGGTTCTTGTCTGGTCACCAAAGGAAAAGCGCAGACGTGCACGTGCATGGTCACCCTTCTTTAACTTTGAAGAAGGTGATCGAAGAGGAAATAGGTCTGGAGGGTGTTGAACTGTCCTCGGTCATGCGAGACAGGAACTTATGGAGGCAGTACATGGCGTCACCATAAGGATGAACTGAACTCGACTGAAGTTATTATGAAAAACTTTCCTACACAAGACCGTTCCTCAACGTTTATACGCCCCAGAGAACACAGCGCAGCTAAACAACCGGAACAGAACTAGCCTCATGGATCAAGCTTTTGTACAGTAACGCCAGTCGACAAAGGCACCTTGTGCGCGTCATATCTTTACTACCGGTGCCTACAATTAGTGCGACCAACCACACGCTGAAGTCGACATATAATTGCCTGCAACAGGAGAACCATTATTAGACTTAAAGACTTAAGCGGAAAACATTTCTCTCTTTTGTACATTAAAAGGCCTCCTCTGTGCGTCATTTCTTTACTCTTTACTACCGGTGCTGCAATTAGTGTGGCCAACCACATGTTAACGTCGACATCTAATTGCCTGCATTTTTGCACTCAAAGGCTTTCGCGGAAAGCATGAAATTTTAGACTCTAAGTTACCGCGACTAGGACGTAGATATCGCGTCTGGGAATGGTGTGATTATGATATCAAAATATCTAGGCATTCAGAAGGTCGCAAACACCAAGTTTTAATTTGTACCGTCGGTGTCTAGCAGACGCTCAATTGAGCTAACGTAGGAAGTATCTATTGCCTCATGGGATACAAACGTCATCGAAATGGCGTGGGGCAGGCAACGAGCAGCACAATTTCCTCTTCTGGCGTTCTCCGGGGACCTAACCAAGAGGCAATCTCAGGATCGTCTGGAACCGAACAATAGCATCGTGTCGTCAAATTAGGTCGAGCTACAGGAAGCGAAGTTGTTTTAAAATGTCATTTCTACAACTGTGCTCCCTACTATTCCGGTAATGATATGAATATAATGTTTGGTGTCGGATAAACCTTACAGTGGCGCTGCCACCCGATATCATAGCTTAGGTTTCACACGGAACTCCCTTATAATTAAAGACACAAGAAGAAGAAGAAATTGTGGCGCTACGCCGCTAATTAGCAGACTACACTCCGTCATCAAGTCTAACTAAACTAGGACTGTGTACCTACATGTAACGCCCATGTTTGTACCAGTAACTGTTCATTTTTTTTATAGATACAGGTCCAGACCTGAACATCTGGTGACCTGAACAAAATACAAACGCCATTTCAACACTAGAAATAGGTAAATCACGACACTCTTGTGATCTGCAAAATGTAAAAATATTCTTATGTCTGAATTAAATATATAAACTCCTAAATAAAGGACGATGTACCACTAAGAAAGACAGTTGGCATGATTAACTCACAGATCATTTGCCAAACTTGTTAAGGTGCATGTACAGTTCCAGACCTGTACCTCAACCCGTGTATTCTAATCTAAGCTCTAAAAATACTGGTTTCTATGAACATTTCTTTACTTCGATAGTTTGACGTTTTATGTTTTTACTCTGCTCACGTGGTTGTTGTGGGTTTGCTGTAATCTCCATACATATTTAGTAGGGGCAAAGGAAGTTTATATTGGCCGCGGATCGTGGGGCTGGCACAGCGGCAAATATGGACTCCCCTTGCCTTACAGAATCTGCCTCTAGATTAGATTTGCCGTATTTTCAATAAAGATACATGCAACGTTCTTA